CAATGGTAAATGATAGAATTATGCACAAAACATGTGAGTATGCAAAAAATACATATATCGGACAAAGAGGCAGATGGTTCAGTTCACGAGATCCTGGGGCGGAGGTGCCGGGTAGGAAAGCTGAGAGGCCCCGGGGACATGGAAAGACGAACGTTCTGGTCTTGTCCATGTACTTGCCTCACTGATCTTACAGTTCCCTTGTCTGATATATAGAACTTTCTGAGTAATTTTTTTATCCAGTGGTTATGGGCTCTAAATTGTAGTCTTCTAAAATCATTTTTTTGTGTGTTTTAGGATGGTTTTGCAAGAATAAAACTTGACCAAGACCGACTGCCAATAATAGGTAAGTGATCCTATGTTCAGAAGAGTTAGTTTTAGAGAAGATTTATTTGGTACTAGAGTTTATGCATTTTACTAAATGTGAGGGAGTTCTCACTTAGGAAACAAACTCTTGTCCTGCTGCATCTTGCTCAGCCAACTGAAAATGCTGAAAACGTGGCCACAGTTTAAAACAGTGGGTTCACCTGTATCATTGATTTGGTTCAACATCTACTCCTGTAAGATGAACAAGAAATCATATAATTTCCCTCAAATTCTAATTTAGAAAGTTGGTAATTGCAGTTATTTTTGTAGTTTCCTTTCTCTTTCCTCCTGATGCCAGCTCCTCCTCTCCCCGAGAGGATCTTTCATTCTTAGTTGAGTGAGTGCTCCTGTTCAGGACTCGGGTAGAGTGAAGACCGCCAGGGCGCAGCTCTGTGACTGCTACGTAGATGCAGGGTTTCCCTGCGGTAGACTGCGTTACTCGACTGCATTTCTGTAACAACGTTGTAACTCAGTGATGCAATCAGTAGGTAGTGTTAGGATCATCTCGATACAGGTTTCCTTCCTGTTACTCATCCGTTCCTGTGTAGCTTACCTCTTCTGATTGAATAACCTTTGAAAACTTTTGTCTTTCAAACAGAGCCTGTTAATATTAATGAGGAAAGTGAGGGCATTGACCAAAACACCCAAATCAGGAATCAAGGGATTATAGCTTTGAGTTACCGCGACTGGGAGGTAAAGCTCCGCCATTGCCCACAGGTGGTCCCGCCTCGCCTTGCCCGCCCTTGCTCGTAAGCCCCGTGCCCATCTGTTCTTTGCTCTGCAGGAGATTGTGAGGACCTTTGAGATCTCAGAGCCCGTGATTGTCTCCGGCCCCAGCCAGCAGAGCATGAGTGCTGACGGCAGCTGAAGGTAAGGCTCCTCGGGGCAACCGGGGCTTTTAGCACACGCTCCTGGCATCCCACCTTCCTGCCGGGCCCGTTCTGGGGAAGTATGGGTCTTGCTGCCCACTGCCTCCCAGTGTTGGTGACAAAGGCCGGGCAGGCCCTGTGGCGGGTCCCCTCTTTGGACCGGTGGCCTTGCTGATCTTCAGGTGGGCCGAGGTAGAGGCAGAGCAGTGAGCTCCTGCTTGGCTTTTTTAACCCTGCATGACACACCGGTACATCAGTGAACAAGGAAGTCTCCCATCGGTCTGGTCCAGGGTCCCGTCAGGTTTGCTTACTTTGTGGGTGCAGAGCAGAAGAGGAGGATCACCTCAAAATGCAGTTAGGAAATGAGCGATGCGGTGAGGGAATTCTGCCTTTCTGTGAAGGAGAGCATTGCGGTAAGCAAGGCTCATGGTGACCTGGCTTCTGCAAGCAGCTGTGGGGGCCTCGGAGACCGGACTCCGCCGGCTCCGCTCCTTTACGATGGCAGGCAAGTCACCTGCTCACACTCGGCCACAGTTGCCTTACTGACAGATCTATAAACCTGTCCCTGAAGTGGGAGGTTTCTTTTTCTAGCTCAAGTATTCTATGCTTTTGAGAGTTAAAATGTAAACTCTCCAATATGCCTCAGTTAACTGAGCGGCTTTTGTTCTGGGATCCTGAGGGAGAGGGGAGTATGGACGGGGAGGTAGGTGTGTGATGGGTGAGCCAGGCCTAGGCACTGAGGAGGGCTAGCTGTTAGGCTGCATTCATGTAAATTAAGTCACCTTTTAATTTATAAACTGTTAACCAGCAATTTCCCCCTCCCCCTTTTAGGACTCAAATGGATAGTGACATCCAGAAAGGAGAGCAGCATGCATTGTATATATTGTATGATTAACATTTTTAAAGGCAGATTGTTTTTAGTAAACTGTAGCTTTTGATAGTTGATGGATTTGTCATGGTTGTCTTTGATTAAAGGAATTCACTGCCATGTTCACAAATAGTTGTAGTTCCTCTTTGTTCTGCTAGTTCCTTCTCCAGGCCTGTCCCACAGGAAGTTCTAGTTCGGTAGAAGTGGCCTACACATCATTATGGTCCTTGTTACAACCCGAGCTGTGATGTCAGCTGGTCAGGTCCACACTCTTAGGTGGTGCCACAGAAAGTAGTTTTGTTGCTAAAACGTGGTCAAGTATCAGCAATGTCACATGACTCAGCCTGATTTATACACAAGCAGCTCCTCCGTCCTCACCAAGCCAGGCTGTACCACCTTCCCAGCAAGCCAACCTTGGGTCTGTCTTGCCAATCCTCTGTCCACGAGACTACTGGCCACTAGAGGGAACCACACCCGGGCGGACACTGCTGTTCCTGGGGCATGGTCTTTGCTGGGTCTTTGGGTTTGTGCCCAGTGGTCTGAGTCCATAGTGGGCTCCTTTTCCTGTCCCGCTTTCTGCATCAGCCCTTACTCACTCCTCCCGTGTCACAGCTGTAGGGTCTGTCTGTGGAAAGCTCGGGGCAAGCTCCCCTGCTCCTCAGTCTCCGCCTTGCCAGTCATCCCTCTTCCTCTCCACACTCAGTGCTTTCCCCTCCACCATCTCATCTCATCTCATCTCATCTCATCTCATCTCATCTCATCTCATCTCATCTCATCTCATCTCATCTCATCTCATCTCATCTCAACAAAGTGACCAGGACCCATAAGTTCCTGTCCTATCTCCTCTGTAGAACCACTTTCGAAAGAGTCCAGTCCTAACCTTGGCCGCTCAGTACCTCCTCCCACCACTCTGCTGACGTTGGTCTAGGCCAGATTTCCCGGCGATTCCTTTCCAGCTAAGATCCAGTGAACACATGCTGTGTGTTTGACACTTGAAAAGCACTTATCGAAAACCACATCCTTGTGTCTGATACTTCCCTGGTTTTCCTTCCACCATACACTCGTGTGATGGACACACCGCATCCTGAAGCTTCCCAAACGGACTACACTCTCCACGCAGCTCCAGGAGCTGCGGCTGAGGCTCTGACATGTGGAGAATAGCCTACCTTTCTGCCCACAGCGTGCTGTCCCCACAGCCCTCCTCAATGGTCACTCACTCTCCACTGGTCTCTCCATTCCACCTTGCCCAGTTTCTGCCAGTCATTCCTCTGGTGCCCGCTTCCTGTCTGCCTTCAGATTTCTCTCCCATCTTCCCACACGGGACTCCCCGTGGCCTCCAGGGTGAAAGGCCCGGGCTCCTGTGACGGCCTAGCCCCTCACGATTTGGGTCTCCGCCTGTTACCGGCTCACTTCCTCCTCTCAGCTAGTCCTTCGTCGTTAAACGGCCTGGGTGAGAGGATGGCATGCCATTCCCCCAGTGACAGTGAATTTCCCTGCTTGGTCTCCTCCCAGGGCTCAGTCAGCCCATCAGCACAGCCAGCCTGAGAACACTGTTACCCTGGCCCTCCTCACCTTCAGCCCTGACCCCCCTGACCCCTTCTGTCTCTGTTTCCATCTTCAGGAATTTGCCAGTTGTGGACATTTCACCTAAACAGAATCATGTGTGTGGTCTTAACATTATAATTTTTTTGCTATTGCCTTCCTCATCCCCTTCATTTCCATTCTGCTTGTTTCAGACACTCCCCACTAAGAGACGCGAGTGGCTACTTTCTTCAAACCAAGGTGGAAAAGCTGCTACTTGGCATTCGTACCTTTTGGTAATGACCGAGTTTCCTAACCATGTACTTTCTCATTGTTTTTAAAAGTTGTCAACAGAAGTTACCTGGGCAGGCTGATTAGGGACCACTTTTTCGTCTTTCAACTTCTAAGTTGAAAAACAAAACAACAACTGATGGATGCCATCTTTTAAAGCAAACTGAGGTAATGCCTAAGCCTTTTTCCCTCCAGAACTCCAGAGTTTGATTAGCACCTGTTCTTGCCTTAGTCACCTGTTTGTGCCACTCTGTTCACCGCACCCCTTTCCTGTGGGGCTCTCCCAGGCCAGGTCTGTGCCCTCCTCTGTGCCAACGGTGGCTGCTGGGGTGCAGGCCGCTCTCCTCACTGCCCTGCTGCCTGAGGCATTCCCGTCCCGGTGCATCCTCAGGCTCCAGGCCCATCCATTACACCCTCCTCCCTCGTCCCTATTCTCCCACTAGAGCTTGTGCTGCAGAAGCGGAGGTGTTCTGCCTTGTTCCTTCTGTGGGTGACAGACCGTTCAGAGGTTGGGAGCGGGAGACTAAAATGTGCTGCACACTTTAGAGAGGGAGGGTCTGTTTCCTCTCCCTTCAGTCTGGGCTGGCCTGCCAGCTTGTTGAGCAGCACAGTCTGGCAGAAGGGATGCTCCGAGGCCAAGTCCAGAGAAGCCTTGTAGAGTTGGGCAGGCCTGTCAGAGCCCCGAGTCGCTGTAATAAGTTCAGCCACCACGAGGCCCTGCATCTACACGGGATGGGACAGAGGGAGAGGATTAGCCCAGCTACCCAGCTACCCTTCTGGCCGTTCCTGCCAAGGGCCTGTAGGGGACGCATGGGCCCTCCAGACTAGCCCGGCCATCACCTGAGTGTCCCCAAGTGGCTCCGGTGGGGCTCCAGGGGCAGAAACTTGCCCAGCTGAGCTCTGCTTGAATTCTTGATGCAGAATTGTGAGCTATAATAAGATGGTGGTTTTAGGTCAAGTTTTGTGTTTATGATTTAACTCCTTCCCCTCTCCCTCCGTTTTGACGCACTTGGAAACAAAACTGGGATATGGGGTTTTACTGCACTAACAGCTATGCACGTGTGCTGCCTAAAAAGAAATACAGGCGTCTAGAAAGCTTTGATTTTATTTTCTAGTTGGCTCCTCAGAAATGGTGGTATCCTCAGAAGCTGTCTTCGAAGTGGTTTTTCACTGCTGCTCTCTCCTCCGGACTTCTCCCTCAGGATGGTCACTTCCCAGGGAGGCTGGATGAGGGGGTAGGCTGGGACCCGCTTAAACTCCTTCACTTCCTCTTTCCTCACCTGAGGCTTTAGGGCAGGGAGAGCCTGGGCGCCCAGTTTCTGAGCCTCTCGTTTTTGACTTCTTTGCTCCGCAAATTCTCGCCCTCGAATCATGCGATCCCGATGTCTCTGCATCTGCTCTTGCACCCAGGCCACCTGGTGCTGTCTGGTTTTAGCTTTGGGTCTTCTCTGGCTGTTTTCCGTCTGTTCATCCTCCAGGGTGATGGTCCTGGGGGAAAGGATCTCACGTGGGCTCTTCTGAGGAAGCAGCCGATACTTGTGGTCTCGGAGGCCTCTAGCTCGCTCTGCCCGGTGGATGTGTTTCTTTATCTGGTCCAGCTCCTTCTCAGACACTAGATAGTCCCATCTTTTAGCATCATCTGACATTTCAGTTTGTATTCTGTTTTCCTCTTCCTTTGTGTCCGAGTCCTCTTTTGGAACCATAATGTATTCCCAAGCATCTTCCAGCATTTCTTGATGTTAACAGTAGTGCTCCTCCACTTTGGCAAACCACAAGTCAAAGACAGTTTATGTTTATGAAGTGTTTTTCTCTCCTGCTGAAACTGGACTGTTTCCTCACGTCTACAGAATGGACGCCACCCAACCGCTGGTCAGAGGGACGTATCAGAATGTTTAAGTCGGCTGCTCTCTGTCATAGTCCATGGCACGGATCTCAAGTGGCAGTCAGCCCGGCCTGGCACTCCCACACCATGCTCTCTTCACTGCGCCCGGTTCTGCTCTTCACCCGCCTCCCCTCCGCAGGGTCCCTCCTAGTTGAAGCCTTGGCCTTAGACTTCCTCGAGGAAACAGAAGCAGTCACTCAGGAGCACCCTCCCCCCACAGCCACCACCACGTTCTCCCAGACCCATCTTCCAACACTGCTCTCCTAGGCCAAAGCCAGCCTTGCACCTGTGCTCCCTGAACCTCCAGAACTTCATTTGCAAATGCTCAAGTTCCCTTTCCTGCTTCAGCAAAACGTCCGCTACTGGGTCACCCGTCAGCGTGATGCTATGCGTCAGCCTGCCTCGCCTTTGAACAGAAGAGGTACCTTCTCGACCACCTCCTCTGCAGCCTCCGCAGCCTTTGCTCCCCTCCACAGCGCGACTTGAAGCACTTACCTATGACCCCTTCTACTCCCCGCCGCTTGTTGCTCTTGTCCCAGGCCTCTATGGCTGGGTTTTTGTGCCCACTCTAGGTCACAGTGACTGCCACCGGACAGATTCAGTGCTCCCACCTCTGCTCTGACCTCTCGGCAGCTTTCTCTGGAGGTGACCATGCTCCTACTTGAAATTCTTTCCTTCTGGCTTCCAGGCAGTGGACAAGGGCATGTGACTGAGGCTAGCTTGCATCCCTCCCTCTCCCAGTTATTAGCTGAGTGTCCCCAAGTGACTGACTAACCCTCATTCTCTTCCGACTTCACGGCCATTCCCTCCGCCATGCCAGGAGGAGAGCGGAGAAATTGTCACCGGAGATAGAGCAGTCACAGAGAGGGCTGCTGGGAAGGGACGGTCTAGAGCATGAACCAGGTGGCCTCACGGGGGTCCGGCTCGAGGGGGAAGAGGAATGGACAAGGCTGCTGTGCCTACCTCAGCCTCAGGCCACATCCCCTTTACTTGACTCTCCCTGCAGAGTGTTGTCTTCAGTCTGCCCTCAGTCCTGTCACTTCTAACCTCAAAACACCCGCCCCCGGTGGTAACCTCCCTGGCTTCCCTGACCCCACACCTCTCTCCCTCTGCCCCAGCCGTGTCTACAGATCTGAGCCCGTCCCTTTCCTGCCTTGACCGTCCGAGTGGTGCTCTAATCTGGTCCTGATTGCCTCTCAGTCATGGATCGCTCCCATGCCGCAGCCACACGATTTCCTGTTCCTCAAGAGCCATGCTCTTCCCCATCCGACTCCTTCCACCTGTTTTCCCTGCAATCACACACGAGGTTGCAGGTCTGACTGCGGCACTTACTCCTGTCACTTCCTCAGACCTTCCGCATACGCATTCAAATATAACCCCATCCTTTCATGACACTGAGAGTTGCAGTAACAACACGCTTTATGTCATGGTCCCTCACTTGCCAGCCCAGGGAGGACACAGGCCTGCAGTGGTGCTCAGTGAACCAACAGGACAGACAGAGCCCCAGGCCCTTTTCACCTTGGTGATAACTATCACTGTGTTACTGGCTCCCAAATTCACGGTAAATGTATTTCCTCACCTTAATCTTCTTTTCTAGTGGGGACTAGGAACCTACTGCAATTCGAGGATCTTGAGTTCTTTTGGCCCAGGCCAATCTAGAAGATCAAAAAAGAGAAGTTATGCTAGATTTGGAGAAGGGTCTCGGGAAAAAGGCTCTAGCGTGAGTTGTATTCGGGAATTGATTTGGGACTGACTTTTCATGTTTCTCTTTCCCTCTCCCCCATCTATTTCTAAAAAAAATTTTTAAGAAAGAAAAGTTATAAAAGTAAGTACGAATATTTTATGCTTACATGAAAGAATTTCAAATATTAAGTCATGAAAGTGGTTCCTATTTCATAGAAAGAAATGAATGGAAATTTCAATCTGCATTTTAATCACTTGTTTCCTAAACCCTAAAAGATACTGATTTGCCATTCAGATGTCAAATTCATGTGATATTAATTCGGTCAAAACTGTTACAATACCTAGACGTGACTGCATCATCCTACCATAACAAGTGCCTAATACAGGACAGGCACACTTCATTTTAATGCACTTCAAGATGTGTTTTTGTACGAACTGAGAGGAAGACCCTCCACTAGCAAAAGACTCAGACTTGCTTTATGACGGTGTCTGGAACCTTACCAGTGTCTGAGGTGTGCATGCCTGTGCTGACTGTGAGCCAGGCACTGTGTGAAGTGCTAAAAGGCTCCTGTGAAAGCAGAATAAAAGTCTTTGGTTTGACCAAGAAAAATATGCATTTATTTTTTTTATATACATATATTTTTATTGATTTCAGAGAGGAAGGGAGGGGGGAGAGGGATAGAAACATCAATGGTGAAAAGCATTGATTGGTTGCCTCCTGCACACCTATAACCTGGGCATCGAGCCCACAACCTGGGCATGTGCCTAACTGCAGTTGAACACGGGACCCTTCAGTCCGCAGGCCAATGCTCTATCCAGAGCCAAACCAGCTAAGGCAAAATATGCATTTCTTAATTAGAGCCTCTCTTTAAGGAATCAGCTTAATGAAAATAAAACTTATATAAAGAGAATCACTTAGACTTAAAAGTACTTGTCACTTAAATACTCGTTGTACATTGTTTCTCTTTCGTGAGAAGAGAAACTGGGAGGATAAAGAATGTTTATAAGCCAGGGAGATAAAGAATATTTTTGATAAGCAAATCAGGTTGAAACAAATTGAGCAAGACTAGACTTTGCCCTAACATGAGCAAAAGATGGCCTGAGTTGTTTTTCTATGATAAATGTAAAAAGAACTTTATCATATTTTATCACATATTTTATCATATACCTAATTTTAAATCTTTGTCAGAAATCATGAAATAGATTTAAATACTTATGCGAAGTCCTGCCTGGGAAAGATGATGATTCCTGAACCAATATTAATATGTTATTATTAACCAAAGCCTGTAGTTTAAGATTCACTCGTGTTGTGCATCCCATGAGTTTTGACAAGTTTATGACAGGTTCCCATCATTATAATTATACAGATCTCCTGGCCATTTCTTTTTAAAAAAATATATTTTATTGATTTTTTACAGAGAGGAAGGAAGAGATAGAGAGCTAGAAACATCGATGAGAGAGAAACATCGACCAACTGCTCTTCTTGCACACCCCTACCGGGGGATGTGCCCGCAACCAATGTATAATACATGCCCTTGACCGGAATCAAACCAGGGACCTTTCAGTCCACAGACCGACGCTTTACCGCTGAGCCAAACCGGTTTCGGCTCTCCTAGCCATTTCTAATTGGGTTTTTATTATTGCTGAGAACTGCAGTTGACGTTTTATTTTTTTGCTTAGGATCGTTTTCATTTCTGTGGAAGGTTCAGGTCTGTGCCTGCCTGCCTTTGCATGTGGATCCCAGTTGTTGCAGCACCATTTGTTGAAAAGACCATCCTCTCTCTAGTGACTTCCCTTTGCTCCTTATCCAAGATCAGCTGACTGTGTATGGATCTGCTTCTGGGCTTGTGCTCTGTTCCCTTGTCTATGTCTGTTCTTTCTCCACCGTGCGATCACTCTAGTTGAACATAAGAATTTAAGTTTTAAGGTCTGGTAGTGTGAGTCCTCTGACTTTTTCTCCTTTAACACTGTTTTAGTTATTCTGAGTATTTTGCCTCTCCAGATAAATTTCAGGATCCTTTTGTTGAGATCCACAAATAACTTGCTCAGCTTTTGATTAGGATTCATTGACTTGAAAGAGCAAGTTGGGAAGAAATGACATCTTAACAATATTCATCTTCCTATAAAAGAGCATGGATTATCTTTTCATTTATTTATACCTTTGATTTCTTTCATCTGAGGTTTGTAGTTGTCCTCATATACTACGTGTATCCGTTAATAATACAGATATTGTAATTAAAGAAAACATGATAATTTCAAGAGAAACATTGAAAGTGCTTTATTCAAGGTAATGTCCATCGCTAGCTACACATTTCCCCTATCTTTCAGGTAATTTGTGGATACCGTCCCAATAGAACTTTTCTTGTTTGGAGGCAAATCGTTCAGAGACCCAATTTTCCACTTCTTCATATATTTTGAGGTGCTGCTCAGAAAGTGCATGTGCCATTAATCAGAACAAGTGGTCATCAGAAGGAACAAGATCTGGGGAATATGGTGGGTGGGTTAATACTTCCTTGGTTTTGAAGTGTGTGATGGTGCGTCATCATGAAGCAAAATTACTTTGCCGTGTCTCCTGGCACATTCTGGTCATTTTATCATCAAAGTGTGATTCAAATGAATAATTTGTCATCGGTAGTGATTAGTATAAACGTTTCACCTGGTTGTAGAATAATACACCACACCTTCCTGATCCCACCAAACGCAGAGCATTGTCTTCTTTCCGAAGCGATTTGGCCTTGCAGTCGATGTTGATGGTTGACCTGGATCAACCCATGATAATGTGCATTTGGAATTCTCAAACTCACTTTTCATCACCAGTCACAATTCCATGCAAAAAAGACTTTCTTTTGTGCCATTGAAGCAACATTTTATTGATGACTTTTCGGTTTCCCATTTGTCTTTAGTTCAGTCGATGTGGCACCCATTTCCCTTCCTTTAAAATTGTTCCCATTGCTTGTAAATGATCAGAAATTGTTTGCTGAGCAACATTTAATCTTTCTTATGTTCACCATAAGCTTCCTGAAATACTCAGCAACACTTTTCTTCAAAATAATGAAAACTTCCTGCAAAGGCTTTTTGGCACAAAATTCGACATTTTTAAGGAAAAATATCTATAATGTTAACACCTTCAGAAAATTTGAAGTTTTGAAGCTCGTCAATACAACAAAATAGCATATATATCAAATGGCATATATATCAACATATGTGTAACTCCATCCATTGAAAATAATCTGCATTAACCTGTATACTTAGTAGCGTGGTTGGCAAACTACAAGCCACATGCGGCTCTGTGGCCACTTGAGTGTGGCTCCTCCACAAAATACCACGGCCTGGGTGAGTCTATTTTGAAGAAGTGGCGTTAGAAGAAGTTTAAGTTTAAAAAATTGGCTCTCAAAAGAAATTTCAATCATTGTACTGTTGATATTTGGCTCTGTTAACTAATGAGTTTGCCAACCATTGACCTAGTAGATTTTATACATATTGTGTTATATTTATACCTAATTATTTCTTGATTTTTTTCCTGGTGCTAATGTAAATGGTATTGTTTCTAGTTTCAAATTCCAATCAACATTGTATCTTGCAACCTTGCTATCATTGATTAGTTCCAAGATACTCTTATTGATCCTTTGGGATTTTTCATTTGGCCAATTATGTCATTTGTGAATAACAATTTTATTTTTTCCTTCCCAATAGTATACCTGTCTAAAAGGTATTATTCCTTTTATTATTTATTGCATTAGCCAGGAGTTCCAGTTTGATGTTGAATAGGAGTTATGAGGAGACATCCTTTCACTGTTCCTGATCTTACCAAAAAAGCATCTAGTTTCTCACCATTAAGTATGATGTTTGCTGAAATTTTGTAATGAATGGCTGTTGGATTTTGTCAAATGCTTTTTCTGCATCTACTAATACGATTTTTCTTCTTTAGCTGGTTGATGCAATTAATTGCCTAAGGTTAAACCAGCTTTGCTTAACTGAAATAAGTCCTACTTGGTGGTGGTGTATAATTATTTTATACAGTGTTTGATTCCATTTACTAATATTTCATTGAGGATTTTTGCATCTGTGTTCACTAGAGATATTTGTTTAGTTTTCCTTTCTTATAATGTCTTTGGTTTTTGTATTGGGGTAATGCTAGTCTCATAAATTAGTTAGAAAATTCCCTCTTCTGCTATTTTCTGGAAAAGATTGTAGAGTTGGTAGAATGTCTTCCTTAAATGTTTGATAGAATTCATCAGTGAACCCATCTGGCCTAGTGCCTTTTTCATAGATCATTAATTATTGATTCCATTTCTTTAGATATAGGCCTATTCAAATTATCCACTTCTGTGGAGTTTGGTAGATCATCTTTCAAATAATTGATTCATTTCTTCTAGGTTATCATCATACATATGGACTTAGAGTTGTTTGTATTATTCCTTTATTATCCTTTTAATGTCCATAGGATCAGTAGTGATGGTCCTTCATTCATTTCTGACATTGATAATTTCTTTTCTAGTTTTTTTCTTGAGACCCAGTGCACGAAATTCGTGCACTTGGGGTGGGGTGAGGGATGTCCTCAGCTCGGCCTATATCCTCTCCCAGTCCAGGAGCCCTTGAGGGTTGTCTAACTGCTATGGAGACAGGAGAGGCGCCTGCCACCATTGCTGCACTTGCCATCCATGAGCCTGGCTTCTAGCAGAGTGGTACTCCCCACGGGGGTGCACGGACCACCAGGGGGCAGCTCTTACGTTGAGTACCTGCCCCCTGGTGGTCAGTGCACGTCATAGCAACCGGTCTTTCCACTGTTTAGTCAATTTGTGTATTAGCCTTTTCTCATATAGGATTAGCCTTACTAGAGTTTTACCAACTTTATTGGTCTTTTCTTTATTGATTTCCTATATTCAACTTCATTTATTTTTGCTTTTGTTCTTTGCTTATTTTGGATTTAATTTGCTCTTTTTCTAGTTTCCTAGGGGCTTAGATTTGAGATTTCAATTATATGCATTCAGTATTATACATTTCCCTCTAAGCACTGCTCTTGCTGCATTCCACATTTTAGTAAGTTGTATTTTCATGTTCATTTAGTACAAAATATTTCTCAAGTTCTCTTGAAACTTCGACTCAAGTGTTATTTAGAAGTGTGTTGTTTAATCGCAAGCATTTTGGTATTTAACTGTTACTAGTTTTATTCCATTGTGATCTAAGAGCATACTTTGTATTATTTCAATTCTTTCAATTTAAGGTGTTTATGACCCAGAATATGGTCTGTTTTAGCCAATGTTCCATGTGAGCTTGAGAATAATGTGTATCCTATTTCAATAAACTATTCTGTGGATGTCAAGTTAGATCCAGTTGATGGTATTTACGTTAAATTATGTCCTTATTGAGTTAATGCCTGATGGATCTGAATTACTGAGAATGGGGACATTTCTATTAGAGAACTCATCATTTTCTCCTAGCAATTCTATCAGTTTTTGCCTCACATATTTTGCCACTCTGTGGTAAGTGCATATATATTAATGATTGTTAGGTATTCTTGTAGTATTGATCTCTGTATTATGTATGCACCTTTTTTATCCCTAATTTTCCTTGCTCTGATGGTTTCCATTGTCTGAAATTAATGTAGCTACTCCAGCCTTGATTAGTGTTAACAATATATCTTTCTCTGCCTCTTTTATCTGATTATAAATTTAAATGGGTGTTTTGGGTAGATAATATATAGTTGGGCCTGTTTAAAATCTAGTCTGATAGTCATTTTATTAATATGTTTAAAGTGATTGAAAGTTAATTGGAAGAATTAAGAACAAAGTTAACTGTCTGTTACTGGCAATTTTAAAATAAAAAGACATTATATTAGTGCTGCCATCCTACCCCGCAAGAAGGGGGAAACTAAATGAAGGTTTGTATTTTCTCATTTGAGCCTCAGAGATGAAAACTGTCTCTGATCTTTAGCAAAATAAAGATATTCAGGAACTGCTGTCCTATGTAAGTCCAGACATATCTTTTCCTCTTCAATTCACTTTAACCACCTTTTCTTCCTCCTGTCTTTAATTAGTTGTATGACCCTGGGCAAGTTATTTAGCCTCTCTGGTCTGTTTTCTATGCTGTGAACTGTAAGTATCAAATGAGTAAAACATATGCCTAGGACTTTGGACATTATCATTATTCAAGACTGGGGGTATGCCCTGGAGTGCCCTGGCTGGGGTTGGTTTAGGGTGTGGGATAAGATTGGGCAGAAGTGAAGTGGGACAAGACTGAAAAGCCCCAGATCTCCTACTCTTCGTATTGAGCATGGCATTCTGCTGTTAAATTTCACAGGCCCTTTCATTCAAAATGAGAGCCGAGCCAGGAAAGAACTGGGAAAAAGCAAATCTGTTGTAATTGAACAAGATGGATGAAGTCTGTCTTAAGAATATGGTATCTAGCAAGGAGACTTCAAGTAAGGAGCTGGAGTGGAGAGCTTAGAGGGGCCCTGAAATTTGGCTGTACCCCACACACCTACCCCTTGCTCTGTCCCCGATATGTGCAGCACAAGTGATGCTGAGAAACCTAACAGGTCACTGGTCACCAAGAATCTCTTCACCTTAACTAGGCACATACCCAGCAGGGTGGGCCTTGGGTCAAGAATGTTGAAACTGATCTCCAAAGGTTTACCTCTGTTTCTCCAAGTTTCATGACTTCACTTTTTTTAAGTGCTGCAATAAGAAAATGAGCTTTAAAAAAATGAAGTTTATTACGGACTCGTTAGAATAGGACGGGCAGGCTTAAATGGTCTGTGCGCACAAGGTACAGGGGAAGGAATATTACCTTGTTGGACACTCATTTTTTGGACAGTGCTTGCAACTGGAGGCCCACGGGCTGAGTATAAGTTTTGCTTGGCTACACTGTGCAAGCAAACTCATTTAAAGCAACATTTTAAAAATCGTATTAAAAACTCTAGATTTCGAGCTTTTCTCCAGGGTGACGTTGGGCTTTGGTGGCCCGAGGCAGCGGCGGGCTCTGGCCGGTTCCTTGAAAAGCGCCACAGTCACCTGCCCGGCCACGGGCACCGACGTGAGTGCCCGCTGGTTCGCAAGAGCTCCAGGTGGTTCCATGGCGGCCAGTGCCCACCTGAGACGGCAACTTTCAAACCGAGGCCGACAGGCCTCCGCCTCGCCGAAGGGAGCTGTCGGGGGCGGTGAAGCCCTCTGCGGGGCAGCGGGTGCGGCCTCCCCCGCCGACGCCGCGCCGGGACGGCCCCGGAAGAGGCGCGGGCGCGGGGCTGCGGCCGGGACGCGCCGCCGGCTGCGCTGCGCCGCGCTCTCCGCCCCGCCGCGGCCCCGCGCTTCCTGAGGCGGCGGGAGGCGTGGCCGGCGCGCCCACCCCGGCGGCGGCCATGGCCTCGGTGGTGGAGTACAAGGGGCTCAGGGCCGGCTACCACTGCGGCTACTGCGACTCCGCGGCGGGCAAGGCGTCCTGCGGTGAGTGTCCCGCCTCGCGTCCCGCCCGGGCCGGCCCCGCGCGGGGAACGCACTGCCGCCCCGCCCGCTCCCGCCTCCCCTTCCCGCTCGCTTCTCCCCAGACCGTCTCCTCACGCTCCGTCCCCGTCTCACCCTCACCGAAGATGGCGGCCCCGGTGCGGGAAGGGGCGGCAGTCGCCGAAGACTGCCTGCCCGGGGCCAAGATGGCGCGGGCGACGTCAGCGCCTCCTCCTGCGCGAGGCGCGGTGCTTTGTGGGGCGGCTGCGGCGGCGCGGTGCATTGTGGGGCATCAGTGGGCTGAGGGGGAGGGGGCAGGGGGAGGTCCGGCTTGAGGCGCCCGGTCGGCGCGCTGCATTGTGGGGCGGCGGCTGCTGCGGGCTGAGGGGCTGCGGGCCCGGGGCGTCCGGGTGGCGGCGCGGTGCGTTGTGGGCGGCGGCGCGTCAGGCGCGGGGCGTCGCGGCCATGGCTTCCTGCGCCGCCCTGTCGTCCAGCCTGGTGGAGTACTTCGAGGGCGAGGACCTGTACCGCTGCGGTTACTGCAAGGATGAGACGGGAAGCCGATCTAACGGTGAGCGGGGCGCGCCGGCCGCCTCGGCTGCGGGGCGGCCTCGGGGTGGCGGCTCCTCGGCCCGGCGGGGCCCGGCCGCCGCCCCCCGCGGCTGTCAGGGTGAACCGGCCGCACCGGCTTCCGCGGCGGAGCCCCCGAGCGCGCCCCTCCGCCGCCCTGACGTGCGGGTCTGTGACGCGGGCGGGGACCGCGCTGACGGGGTGCCCCCGGGACCAGGTCCGGAGGGACACGGCCGCCTGGGCACGCTGACGGCGCCCCTCGCCCGCCATTCCCCGCCGCCTCCCGGGTGTTGTTTGTAAACAGCGGGGCGGCCGTCCCTCCGCGCCTCCTCGGCGGGGGAGCTCGGTCCCGCGAACCCGGCTGTGGACCGGCCCCGAAGACGCCCCGCCGGCGGGGCCGTGGCCGAGGGGCGTGGTGCCCGCGGCGGTCCGGGCCCGGCCGCCTTCTCCTCAGGGAAGGCTGTGAGGCGCCCCGGGGCGGGCAGCGCGGCGGGAGGCGGAGCGGAACCCGGAAAAACAAACGGGTGCAGAGGACCGGGAACGCGACTCCTTGGGAGGAAAACCCCCCGCTGGTGGCGGCGTTGGCCTGAGGCTGTTAGAGATCCTCCCAGGCCCAGGGCTTTACTGCGACGGGTGCAGTAAAGCTGACGTTTTAACAGGACTTGGAGTTATCCTGTTATCCCACGAGAGGAAGCCCTGGGTGAAGTGTCCCCTGTTTACAGTGTGGTGGGAGGAACCTGCTATCGGCCTCGCCCCTGGAGAGGGCCCGCGTTTATGGCCCCGGCCGTAGTTCCCACCCCTGGGCCGCGGGACCGGTCTGGGGGTCAGGCTTTCCCCCAGGGCGACGGCAGGCTGCGCCGGCTGTTGGGGTTCTGAGCGCCCTCTGCCCCCCACCTGTCCGCGGCCCGGATGCATTTACTGTTACAACAGCGCCCAGGCTGCTGCTACCCTCATCTTAATGGACCTTCCAGTGTGTTCTCGGAGGCTTCGTTTGTTAGGGTTGTGTGATTATTTCACCATCTCGGTGAGCCGTACATCTGTAATCGCTTTCCTGTTCCCAGACCCTAGGCTTACTTTTAGTTTTTGAAGCTAAAAGGAGTATTATTACATGTTTTTGTCTTGTTTTCAGTGTAAACATATATAAAAACCGGGAGAATTCATATGCACAAGAAAACACTTGCTTCCTAATTTTTCTGAAGAGACTAGCCTACGTTATTGGGGATATTGTTGTTGAAAGATGTGAGGTAATCTGGTTGCACTAAGAAGCTGAATTTATGATGTCACGGAGGCTGTCGACTAAGCCCCAATTAAATGGGATAGCTCTGATGTGTGTTTTTTTAATTAAGGAGAATATATCATAATTTCCATTTGTATTATGTCAAACCAACAACTGCAAAACATGCAAACTTTTGTTCCTCCAGTGTGACCTAGATTTTCTTTTTTTGCTTCTGTATTCACGTTTAAAAAAACTGCTTTGAATTTAAGAAGTGCAGAGTGCAATCTGCAAAGTGACACGTACTTGTCTTTCAGGCATGTGGGCGCATTCCATGACAGTGCAGGACTACCAGGACCTGATCGACCGAGGATGGCGGAGGTAAGTGCGGAGCACAGGCGGCTCCTCTGTTACTCAGGTTCTTATGAGTGAGAGAAAAATATACTGTTTTCTCTTAAAATATTTTTCTGCTGTTGGGAAGAGGTTTAAGACGTTTTTTGTCCCTTTATGTAATGATTTTGTTCTCTCTCTTTTTAATGATGTTTACCAGGAAAACTTCAAATACATACAGATACAGAGGTACATTATGATGAAGCTTGTGTATCTATCACTAGGCTTTAGCTGTTGTTAACATTTTGCCAGTCTTGTTTCCTTGATTCTTTGTTGTTTTTTAAGTATGGTATGTTTTTAAATATTTTTTATTATAATTTTATTGATTTGAGAGAGAGAGAGAAAGAAACATCAGTGGGATAGAGAACATCGATCAGTTGCCTCTCTCCCATACACATCCCAACAAGGGATGGAACCAGCAACCTTTTGGTGCATGGGGTCGATGCTCAGCCAACTGAGAGCCACACTGGCCAGGGCTCATCAATTCTTTTTGGTCTCTGCAATGGACTGAATGCTTGTATCCGACCAAACTTTATAGCTTCAATCCTATTCCCGTTACAATGGTATTTGGAGGTGATTAGCATAAGGGTGGAACTCTCATGAATGAGATTCGGCCCTTTAAGAGAGAGCTCCCTGCCCCTTCTCCCATGTGAGGATGCACTGAGAACAGGAGCCAGGAAGCTTGTCTTCATGAGACACTGACCTGCTGGGCCTTGGTCTTGGACGTCCCAGCTCCAGACCTGTGAGGAATACACTCCTGTTGTTTAGAAGCCACTCAGCCTGATAGCAGCCCAAGCGGCCTTCCCCCCCCTCACCCCCCAAAAATAATTTAAACCAAATTTCAGGTGTCATGCCAGTATGCTTGTAATAATTGTATTTCTAAGAGAGAAGGGTTCTTTTCCATTTGCTATACCTTACAAAATTAATAATTCTTTGTCTGTTACCTAGTTTTGATTAGATTTTCTGCTCATCTCAGATGTGTGTGTTTTTTTAACAGTTGGTTTATTTAAATTAGGATTTCTTTAAGGCCCACACAGTGCATTGCCTTCGATGGCTAAGATTTCTTTGGTAGTTATTTTTATGTGGATGATTTTAAAGTAACTGTTAGGCAAAGTCCTTTACACAAGTAGTATGAGCAGTGTTAAGTGCCCTGTGCCAATCAATAAACCTGGGATTAAGCACAGATGAAACTTCACAACTTCCCTTAAACTTAATAATGACGGGGTTCAAAAGCAGACACAGGTCCGGTGATGAGGAAGGAGCCTTTCCAAAGGCAGAAGGAACCGCTGATGCTGCTGCACAGGAATGTGATGGCACTTGAGATTTGGGAATTGTTGTTTACATAGCAGAGAAGTGTCGGAGGGGTGATCCGAGAGGCCGAGGACTGGTTCCAGGGTGATGCAGTGCCCGGCTGTAGGCTCAGCAGTGGCGAGAGACAGGAGGGACAGATTGGAGGTTTATTTATTTTATTTCTTTTTCAAAATATACTTTTATTGATTTCAGAGAGGAAGGGAGAGAAAAACATCAGTGGTGAGAGAGAATCATTGATTGGCTGCCTCCTTCATGTCCCATACTGGGGATCGAGCCTGCAACCTGGGCATATGCCCTTGACCGGAATTGAACTCAGGACCCTTCAGTCCGAAGGCCAGTGCTCTGTCCACTGAGCCAAACTGACCAGGGCTGAAGGTTCATTTTAGAAGCAGAAAGATTGCTGACAGGAAATAGAGCTCATTAGAGGGAGGAGTCTAAGATAACTCCTCGGTTCCTGGCTCGGGAACTGAACTGAACTGAAGGTTTGTTTGGGCTGCCATAACAATATGCTACAGATGAGCCAGCTTAGCAAAAATTTGTTTTCTCTCAGATCCGGAGGCTGGAAGTTCAAAACCAAGGTGTCCAGAGCTCTGGTTTCTACTGAGGCCTCTCCTTGGCTTGCACATGGCCGCCTCTCCCTGTGTCCACAGAGGATCCTTCTTTTTGGGTGGACTTCCCTGGTGCCTCATTCCTTTGTTTCCATTTTCTTTTCTTATAAGGATGTGTATCAGACTGGATTGCGGCTCATCTTAATGGCTCCTTTTTAACCCAGTCACCTCTTTAAAGGCCTTCTCTCTAAGCACAGTCACTTCTGGGGTTCTGGGAGTTAGGGCTTTACCATAGGGATTTCAGCCCACAGAGCCATGCTCTGCCACGGACTGAACTCTGGAAAGCATGAAAGGAACAGGTGGATGTGGGGGTACTTTGTGCTGTTGCACCTGGAACCCCCAAGAGTGGCTATCACAGGCAGCTGTGTGCCTTGGTCCCACCGCCTCCAGGGCAGTTGTCTCTGCCCTGTAGTGAGGATCGGGGTGGTAGCTCAGGCATGGAATGGGTGGCAGTGCTGCTGAGGAGGTGACAGGATTGGCCTGGGAGTGTAGGGTAAGGTCTAGTAGGAGAAGCTGGCCTCAGCACACCCACATTGCAAGATGTCACTTAGGAAGAGTCACTAAACCTACATGCGTTTCTGCGCTATTGATTAGATTTCTTTCCCAATTAAGTTTGTGCTTCTATAGTAATATACTTTGGTATATATGAGAAATACATAAGAAATTAACAAAACTATTTTACAATTTTAGAAGTGGGAGATACGTGTACAAGCCTGTGATGAATAAAACATGTTGTCCTCAATACACTATAAGGTAAGAATTTTGATTAATAAAAAGAGGCTCCATAATATGAAGATTGTGTACTTTTTTAGTAGAGTCTTGCTTATTTTAAATGTTCAATTTCATTCTAAATAGGTCAGACTGAGGGACCCCGAGGATCAGGCCGAAATGGGTGGGTCCTAGATTGCTAGAGGGCACAGGCCAGTCCGAGAGAACCCACTGGTGCGCAAATCCATGCACTGGGCTTCTAGTGTAAATATATGAAAAAATAACCTCTTCATTTGGCAGTGTAGTCAGAGATACCATGGAATATTTGGAAAAGATTGGTAAATACTCAAACTACTTTTTAAATATTTATTTTGCTTTCCTAGGTGCCAAGCTTTACAGTTTCAGCCATCAAAATCTCACAAGAAGGTTTTGAAAAAAATGTTGAAATTTCTGGCTAAAGGGGAAATTTCCAAAGGAAGTTGTGAGGGTAAGATGAGATGGGATTAAAACTGATTACTTTAAAATGATGTCTCTCTCCGGGGTTCTTACTTTCCGTCAGGGAACAGGGTCCTCACCACAGTCAGGTACCACTGTTTCTATGACGACATTTACTCGGGAACAGCTGTCACTATTCCCTGGCTCCACATGTGTGGGAAATGCATGCGAGGGCAAGTCTTGCTTGATGAAAGAGAGGGTCTTTTTCGAGGTACAGTGTTCTGGAGTTTATGGAAATTGTAGCTTTCAGGTGCTTTGGCAACTCTTCTCTTATTCGATCCCAGTAACATCCTTGTGAAAGAAACTGGAAGGGGACCGTCTGGAGACCAGGTGCTCACGTGCAGCTTGCCTGTGATTGCAGTCCCTTTGGCTGTGGAGTGAGACTGACTTCAGTAGTTACATTGCCTCAAGTTCTGTTTCTCACTTGTCTGGTCAATTTTGAATTATGTGGGAATTTTTTTTAAATGCATGAATTTCTTTTTCTTCTTTTTTTTTAAAATATATTTTATTGATTTTTCACAGAGAGGGAGAGAGAGGATAGGGAGTCAGAAATATCGATGAGAGAGAAACATTGATCAGCTGCCTCTTGCACACCCCCTACTGGGGATGTGCCCGCAACCGAGGTACATGCCCTTGACCGGAATCGAACCTGGGACCTTTCAGTCCTCAGGCCGACGCTCTATCCACTGAGCCAAACCGGACTCTAAATGCATGAAATTCTTAAAGATAATTAGTAACATTTAATTAACTGTGGTTACGGATACTTTGCATTTTCAGTTTTGTTACTTAAAAAAACAAGCAAAAAACCCTTTTCTTATAGGCATTGCCTATAAATACATAAATAAGAATTGAGAAGGCACCCATTCTTCAAGCCCTTGCTTCCTTCTGCCCTAGGAAATGCCTTATCTTAGGAGCCTCCCACCCCCATCTTAGCTTGTTACTTCATTCCCCAAGTGTGCTTTGATGCCTGCAATGTCCCAGTCCCTTTTTTAAGCACTGGAGAGGCGGTGGCCCGCAAGACACTCTCCTGTACTTTGCCCTCATGCACTGTCCATGTGGACCAGGATTCAGGCAGGTGGGAGCTAACTGGGCAGAGCCGGACAGCAAAGAGGCCAGAGGTTCAGGTCACGGAGGGTCAGGAGCAGTTGGAGCTTTGGGAGCATCAGGATGTCGGCCGAGTTCTGCTTATTGTCCGCTGTGATCTTCCAGGTTCAATAGATTTTGTTGGTTAGTCAGTACAAACTGTACAGTGGCTGGGAATCATGTTCTGGGTTTCAAAAACTATTTAAATAAGCTTTGAGAACGCTGTTCATTTGCAAAGTGTTGGTTGCCTGCCCTTTTTATTTTTAATATATATTTTATTGTTGGTAGTATTACAGACATCTACCATTTACACACACACACACACACACACACACACACACACACACACACCAGTTGCCTGTCTTTTTATGTAGCTTTTATGCTAGGTTCTTTATTTGACTTGTATAATTTTCTGAATTACTGCCACAACTTAGTTAATATTATAGAAGTGATGCACTCATTAGGGTGAAAGCTGTAACACAGAGACACCAAAATGCAGGGGCTAAACAGTGATAGCAATCTGTTCCTCCCTCACACAGCAGTCAGGGTGGTATGCCAGGCTGGCCATTTTGGGCTGCCCTCCTTATGTTCCCAAGGTCGCTCTGGTTTTTGCTGATCCTGCCAGTGGGGAGGGGAAATGATGGAAGTTCAGGGCACATATTTCCTTTAGAACAAGGGAGGCACCTTTGGTTATCCGTTTGGTTATGTTTTGTTGGTGGGAACTGACAGAGGAGGGCAGTGCGGTCCCTTGTGGGGCTGCCCGGTCCTGGCTGCAGCTCTGCTGCGCGGGGGGCAGGAGGGTGGATCTGTGGACACACAGGAGCTTCTGCTGCGGAGGGTAAAGGGACATTGCTCCCTTCGGGTCCCTTCACTGGGTCTGGCTGATGGACTTTGCTGTTTTCTTATTTGTAGATGAGCCTATGGAGCCCAGCATGGAGGATGCTGTTGCCGGGGACATGGCACTCATCAATAGATTGGATCTACAATGTGACCTTAAACAGCTCGGCGATAACCTCAAAGACAGCTTAGAGAGGGAAGTGAAGAAGAAAGGAAAAAGCACAAAGAAAGAGGAATCTAAGGAATGTATTCAGTCCCAGGACAGGAACGAGGAGCAGGGCTCTGGGGAACCGTCCCATGCGGTGGAAGTGCACACCGTTCCTAAGCCAGGTACCGCCGCTGTCACCCACGTCCTGTCAGGTGCCCCTTTGTGGTGGGAATGGGACCGGCCCTCTCGTCAGCTGGAAACGAGAGTCACTCCTGAATCCACAAAACCATTCTGTTTTAGACCTCTTACTGCCTGGGTTAAAACCAATGTCTAACAACCCTGACAGTAGCCTCATTATCCCCAAACTCCATTTCTTCTTACTACCTTAGGGCCCTCGAGGCTTGAGAACCAAACCTTTTTAGTGAAAATATATGCTAAGCATTTTTATTTTTGGTTTTAAGTGAGACAAAGTAATTTTCGGTATTATGTCCACAGTATAGACATCGTAAAATCTTGTTTATCATTAGTTTTCTTAGGCAATCATAATAAATTTTAATTTAAAAAATTTTAGATTTTGATATTTAATTTCACTTTTAAAAAGGAAAGATTTTTTCTATATTTTCACTTATAAAATAATTAAGTTTAAAAGTTTTATTAACCATTAAATGAGTATATAATGTGCGTGTGTGCAAGAATGTGTATACAATTCTTTTAACATTTTATAAAAATAATTTGGATTGTTTTTATGCTTCATTTCTTAAATTTGTCCTTATGTTTAAGAACAAAGGATTTTTAGTACTATTTAGTACTATTTTAGTTTTCTTTGCTACATATATAAAAGCACAGAAAACCGTGTTTTTGTTGAATAGTGTGTTTTTTATGTAAGACTTTAATGGCATTTAAATTGATGTTGGTCTGAGATCTTATCCTAAAAATGAGAATAAGCCATTAAAATATTTTGAATGATTTAGGTAATTTCCTTCAACTTTTACTAGAGTGATTTTATTTTTAATTTTTTTATTATAAAAATTACTTGTATGTCAGATTAAAAAGCCATTTGGAGAATTTCAAACAGACACATGAAGACTGAATATTATAATGAACTTCCATGTACCCTCCCCTCATTTGAAAGAGTCACTGACTTACAGTTGACTGTTTTTGTTGTACTGATAGTATTACAGATATCTCCCATTTTTGGTACTACAGTTTCTACTAGGGGATTATTTGTGAACTGCTGTTACTATTACACTGGCCCATATCAAGGATATGGGAAATGGATGCCAGGAGGAGTCTAGCTTGGTATAAGGTTAAAAGTCATTTTCCATATGTGATATCCTGGAATTGGGGGGTCCCACATAATTAAAATTTTTACCTTTTAAAAAGGTTTGATTAAAATTCTGATTCACTAGAGCTAACTAATGCGCCTCCCCCGGTGGGAGAGACACACTGGCAACTGCATAAAAGTGTTTTTTGTTGAGAGCCCGCCCAGTGTGCCCTGGGATCAGCACATCTTTCCCTGGGGCTGAGCATGTCTCTGTCCCCAGTGCTCAGAAGTGTGGGCTAGAGGCAGCCATGTCCTGAGCAAAAGATACTTGATTATGTTGTCACTCACAATGGCAGAGAGGAAGTAAAATATTTGTTTAAAAGAGAGATTTTCAACAATAAGAGATGTCTGGAAAGTTCTGTGCCTCTTGACCTTCTTCAGCAATTCTTGCTCAAAGGTAGAATTTTAAGATTAACTTTCGGCTTCACACCAGCACCCTCTCAGACACCTGCCCTGAAGCTCACCTGACAGCTGCATCTCTCTGGCGTCTTTGAGAGTCAAATGTGATTGGTTATATATTCTGAAATTTTTTTTAGGCAAAGGGGCAGATTTGAGCAAACCTCCATGTCGGAAAGCAAAGGAAATCCGGAAGGAGAGGAAGAGGTTAAAGCTCATGCAGCAGAGCCAGGCTGAAGAGCCTGGCAGCTTCCAGGCTCCACGAGAACCAAAGACCAAACCCAACCAGCCCAAATCGCTGGAAGAGTTAATTTTTGAATCTTTACCAGAGGATGCGTCACATAAGTTAGAGGTACTTTGGAGAACCTACAATGTTTTGTTTTGTTTTGTTTTTTTGTTGAGTCCCTTGTATATTTTCATTTTAAGATATATTAATCCATTGATTCATTGTTTAAACTGGGAAATTAAAGTGGATTGGATGGAGTAGCATTTGTGTTTACTAAGACAGCTGCTACTTGAGAGAAATTTAAGATAAAAAAACAAGCAGTTTGACTCAAGTTAAAGCAAATCCAGGTTTTTGCATGTTTTGCTGCGTAAAGTTTCTGGCTTTCTGTATCTTTTGATTGAAATTTAGTAGTTAAAGTGAAAAAAAGCAAAAAACACCTATTTGAATTTCACGTTTGGCAGTTTTGGTTTAGATAGTGAAGGAGAAGAGGTGAGGTGCGTCACTGTTTTTGTTCTGTCCTCCTGATCTTGGTCAAGCAGCACCATCACCTGTGCAGGCCAGCAGTCAGGGCATAACGAAGCGATACTCAGTCGTCCTATTGTAATAAACCTCTCGTTACTTTCCCCCAGCCAGATTAGCATGGTAGAAATACTTTTTAAGTGTTCCTGTCATTTTTCCCAAATTGATTTATATTTCAGATTAAGTCTAGGTTTTTCAGTATTTGTTTGGTATTTATACCTTGTTTTCTAAAACATGAGCCATGATGATACTATCATATTCTCATACGTGATTAGTAACTGCTCAGCCTTTGAGTTTATAGTTTAATGTCACCTAAGAACATTTCTTATCACTGAAGACTTGATATTAAAAGCTAACTTTAATACAGTGTAATGTAAACCTTAGGACAATATGTTGTCAGGTGTAACTTTTAACAGTTTTCACTCATACTTCCTGGCCACTCTGATTTTGTTCTTGATTTTCTCCTTCCCAACTTTAAGAAAGGAATTAACACTCTACTTTAAACCTTTTATGAGGAGTCATTATTTTTTATAAATGGTAAGGTATTCAGGGCACCAGGCACATCTAACCTAGCTGTTTACAGTAGGCAGCTTTTGTTTTTAATGTAGCGGCTCCCCGGACAGATAGAGACCTGCTGCCCACTGTCACGCTTTCTTCGTAGAAGAATTACTTCTCAGGGCCTGTGTGACATGTGCCTTTTTATTAGATTGCTTTTGATTTTCTGTTTTACTATCTTATTCTGCTAGCCCATTTTGACTGGTTAGTAACTAATTAATATTAAAATAAATGTTAGCTATTACTGCTTGCAATTACTGTTTTTAACTCTTCCTCATTTTACATATGAGTAATCTAAGTTACACTGGTTAACTTGTATATTGAGCACGACGGTGACGTTAAGATTTTGAGTGAAGGGAATCTGAATTGGAGTCTCCATTTTTAGCCATGTTATAAAATAGGAGCACTCTGTTGTCTTTTACACTCATAAAAAAGGTGGTAAGTTTAGCATTAGCAACAGCTCATCAGTGTGTCCAAAAATATATTCACATTTCCAGAATTGCTGACTGACTAACCGCAGGTGAGTTGCTCACGGCTAGGCTGGAAGAGTGTGTATTTGTGTTTGTACCCTGAGTGTCAGAGAGCAGCTTCCATAGTGGGGTCCCAGACTTCAACTAGTCTTAGAATTGAGGCAGGGTCCTCTGCCTTCTTACTGAGCCTGTATGTTGGAGAAATGACTTTTTACATTTATTTACTAACTGGTAGGTTTTTAATGTTAAACTGTTACATATTTATGCATTAATGTTTGTATTAGAGCATTTGGTTCTTTTTGGGTGGGAGTAATTGTTAATGCATATTCCATGGAATAAGCACATGAATTAATGGACATTGTTTTTAACTCCTTCTGAAGGTGAGGGTGGTGAGATCATCTCCACCAAGTTCTCAGTTCAAAGCCACAATGCTGGAGTCGTACCAGGTCTATAAACGATACCAGATGGTTATTCACAACCACTCACCTGATGAACCAACTGTCAGCCAGGTCAGCAGGCCAAGCACACGGAACTCTCCCTTCCACTCGATGTCCCTGTATGAACTCTGGGTTTACTTGTGATGCATTTTATTTATATGCTGTTTGCAGCATATCTGCAAAGAGACAGAACTGGATTGACGGACATTCTGAAAGTGCAAATTGTGCCTAGTGCCAGTCGTATGATTTCAAAGTGGAAAAGGAACACACAAAATGAATTATCTTCAATTAAAATCACTATGTTTAGATGCATTTATCTAAAAATAATAGAGGTCTAAGTAAAAATATTTGAGAAAAATGCAAAAAGCCTTTGCATTTTATGGCAGACATACTTTGCACAACAGGTTAATACGCTCTCCCTATTTTTAAGCCACATATAGAAGGAATCATTCATAGCAGCTGCCTTACTCTGTTAATATACTGCCTAGACTCAACTGAGGAGAGTTAGAAAAGTAAGAGTATTTGAACAGAAATCCTCATTGCTTATACTTTCATAAATCAAATCACTCAGGAAAAATCTGGACGAGGAAAAAGCTTATAGCACTTGCCTTGTGGTGCTGACAAAAGAAGCGGCCATGGCCGTCAGCAGCCGCATTGACTTCAGGGCATGCAGAAAACTGCAGGTGGGTCGAGGGAAACCCCAAACAGAGGAAGATCCAAGTCTTGGCCTTTGTTAGTGTGAAGTTGGTGCTTTGAGTTCTATGCCCGTCACCTCCCAGGGTCACTCGTTTCCTGGAGAACCCAGTGCTGAGCTTTGGAAGGGGAATTGCGGAGATCTTACTGGGCCTCACCTTCAGAAGCGCGTCCTCAGGCGGCGTGTTTCAATAGCGTGTGCTTGTATCTTCCTTGCTCTGAAGGTGAGGTTAGTGCCTGTCTCCTTTGAGGACCCAGAGTTCAAGTCGTCCCTCAGCCAGTCGTTTTCTTTGTATGTCAAGTATCAAATGGCCATACACCAGGATCCGCCCGAGGAGTGTGGGAAGACCGAGGTACCTTTGTTACACGTTTCCTATGTGATGGGCGTGGGTGTGAAGAAGTAATATAATTTCTTATGCCACTTAATCTGTTCAGTGGAGTATATAATATAATACTCTGCTTTCAGTGTGAGATACTGAATGTTATGAAAATGCGTTATACATGTCGACATTTTAAATCCTCCTGGAAAAAGATGTGTTCTTACGCGATGTTCTGCCCAGGAACCAGAATGCAGTGTGTGTATCTGTTGTCATCAGGCAGAGTCAGCAGACATCACTGTGTGCTCGTTACTGCCAGTCTTCGTGCCCCAAATCCTGTCTGTGCCATGTTCTTCCTGCACATGCCTGCGCACAGTTTAATCTTAGATCAGGCACAGAGGAGATGGACAGCAGTGACTAGCAGTAACGTGGTGCAGTGTAACAGGGAATGTAATAAAGCTATGTGAGCTTGTCTTTCTGATTACCAAGGGAGGAGCATGTACGCCTGGATACACTGGACATGGGTGATTGGCGTCCTGGGTGGGCAGAACGGCATGGCAGGAGAGTGCCTCACACCGCCCAGAGTGGTGTGCTGTGTAACACCTACCAATTGTTTATTGCTGGGGCTTCTCATTTGATATTTCTGGACTGCTGTTGGCAGTGGGTAACAATTCTTGGGGTTACTGAGTAGCTCTCTGGCTCCTTTCTCTCCAAAGGACATCCTTGCTTCATGAGCAGGATCTTCTCTAGACAAGATAGTAAATTGGGGCTCACTGGTAGGCAACAGCAGGCCTGTGAGCTGCCTAGCAACCCTGTGTAAGGAGGTGTCACTGCTGCAGACGTTCCTACCGCGATGGAGGCTGTTCCAGGATCCTGTGCTTTGGTGGATACTGTTTGCTACAGGAGTTCAGAGCATTACTGTGAGCGATGCAGAGAAGACGACCTGCACTCCTCAGCGGTGCTTGTTTAGGGGAAGGCTGTCTTACATGAGGCATACGTGGTCAGACAGTGAACATGGTCATGAAAAGGGAAGGTCACCCTGGGTCTGCCCTGACCTGGAAGAGAAACACGAGCTAATGGAATACTGGGTTGTGCATGGCTCCAGCCAGCAGGTGGCGCCCTGGCTCCAGAAAAGGTCAGCCCTGCCAGTAGGAAACACAGCCCTGTGTTTACATCCTGGGAAGGAGGATAAATGCTTTCCTTCTGCTGTTGGGTAGAAGCACTTTGCATCGAGGCGTTGAATATGATAATTACAGATGATTGGTTGCTTGTGAAAGATTTAATTTTTTTTGGAATTTAACTTACACATTTTCAGCTTCATTTCCCCTCTTAGTAGTCTTACTCTGTGTGTATGAAAATAATAGCTTACGTTTAAAAAGTTACCACTGTATCAGACTGACAGTTCCTTCAGGTATGCAGACAAATCTGTCATGTGCATAGGCATGCACTATTTTATCAATATCTAACTCATAATGAAGGCAAGCTCTGAGCATTTTGAAATATTTTTTATATTTTTTTAAGGTCAGGGCTAACTTAGCTGAATAAAGTAGAGGGCTTAGGCAATTATTGGTATTTTAATTCAATTAAAAAAAAACACTTTTTATGAGCAACTTCTAAATCAGGGTACTTTCATATTGTAATCCGTCTTAAGGCGTGTGAGATATTTACTAATAGTTAAATTACCAAAGTTTTGAATCACTTAAATAACTTAGAGTAGCGGCTCTATTGTATTCTTAGCATAATGTTAATCTGGGGGGAGATACAAAAGGGTTTGTGTTAAATAGCACTGGGAATATTTTTTCTTAAAGTTTATTTTGGTCAGTGATTTCCAGAAACTCGTCTCAGATCATAAAGCATAGCATCATACTTTAGAGACAAAGGGAACTTAGTGGTTGTGTAGATTGACTTCTCCTGTCTGGAGAATTAGGCGATTTGTCCAAGATAACAAGGGGGAGCAATGGCAGAGTAGTGCCTCCAAATTTAAGTGCTTTACACGGGGCCACATTTTACCGTGTGGCTAAGTTACAGTGGCCTAAACAATGTCTATGGAATAACTGACACCAGTGAATGAGATGTTCAGCATAAGCACATTTTCCAGGTAATTGAAACATCTGCACTGCCAAGATTTTATGTTCTCGGATCATGTGCAGTGAGAGTCCTTCACGAGGGCATGGCCGTGCTCCGCCTCCTCCCAGTGCAAGTGCCTGCAGGTGACTGCCTTTTTCTCTAATGACTCAGCCTCTTTCCCTTGATCTCCCCCCCCCCCTTTTTTTATTTTTATTTTCTCACAGACTGATGCTTAGCCTGTCCTCAAGGACGCGGCCCGGCACCTGTAGATTCCCCCAGCCTCTTTGGACACAGAGGCTCGGCAGATTCTCCTGCTTAGATCCTTGATTTTACCTTACTTCCAGGGACTTCTGCCCTTCCTGGGCGCAAACTATCTCACCAGCTGCGCCTCCTCGCCAAATTCGGGCTGAATTCCACTCGTTTCAGCTGCTCCCTCCACCCGCTCCGGGACAAGGCTCAGGACATGTCCGTCTATTCCGCTGCCGTCTTCCCTCCCCTCTCAGCCTCTTTCCTTTCTCTTTTTGATGTCATTTGTTAGTTTGTCTAGTTTTAGCACATTCCCTCTCTACCTTGTGGTCTCCTAACGTGTTTGTTAAATATGTATTGAGCACATAGTACGTGCCAGGTACTGTTGGAGAAGCCTTTGGTAGGTAGCAGTCGAGATCCCTGCTCTAGTGGGCCCTTTGGGGTGGCGGGTAGTCAGAGATTGTCATGAGCAGTTGGCATAGAGAGTGAGTAGAGATGGTGGTTGGCCCACAACCAAGGTCCATGCCCTTGACCGGAATCGAACCCGGGACCCTTCAGTCCGTAGGCCGATGCTCTATCCACTGAGCCAACCCAGTCAAGGCTGTTGTAATTTGTCTTGTAAGTTACTTTTATATCATATAAATCCTAAAAAAGGTATCATTCGTGAAAGATTTATATGTGTATTTTTCAACGGCTTTATTTGGAGCTGGAGACAAAGGAACTGAGGATATTTCTGAGTTTGTGCTTTGGTGATGGCAGTTCTTGCTTTTGAAGAACTCACTAGGTCAGATTCCCATAGCCTGTAGTGTCCCTTGCGCTGTTACACCAACTTGTGAAAACACTCGGCAAGAGTCAGAAGAAAGGCTCTGTCGGTGCCTGGAGCAGGGCCCAGGAGCTCGTGGGGAGACCCGCGCTGAGTTGACGGTTCCTAAGAAGCAGCTGGAGACAAGTCCGGCCAACGGAAAACTACTCTGAAAGAAAACTGTGTTCTTGAAACTTGGGACATTGAAGCAAAAGGAAAATTCAAAGGAAGTCGGGAGTCTTGGCGTTGTTTCTCTAAGTGAGAGTTGCTTGAGTTTCCTGAGTGTTGAGAAATCCACCTCCAACAAGTAAGCACTATTTAGTGCTTGCAAAGCTCATGTGATAGGAATCACCTTGTCATGGGCGCGTTGGGTCGTGACCTGCTGTAATTTAGGTCTGCTTTTCCCATCAAACCTGAGGAGCCTCCTGCTTTACGGCCTCCGAAGGACCTGACAAGGGGTCAGTGCTGCCTGTGATGGCTAGTCCAAACAAGGAGAGCTGGTGGTTTGCAGTGGTAATTCATTAATACGCCAGTAATTTCAGGGAGCTGGTTGCGTGATGAAAAAGCAGTCGGTTTTATCCAGTTAGTAGTAATACAAGAATATGTATTAACATACATGATTATTTACCCAGAGCATAATTCTGTCTTTAAGAATGTGTAAAAATAGGAATATATTTGTGTAGATCTAGAAAGGTAAGCTATAGGTATATATGTGTATGTAAGCATATTGACACACATATGTAAAAGCTTTTCTGTGACATTTTAGAAATAGTTCAAAAATTTTATTTTTAAAATGACTCCCATATTTCTTTCCCCTTGGCTATGGATGAGTGTGATTCTTCTATTCAACCAGTTGTGTAAACATTTAATTTCTAGCATGTTTCATCAGTATGGTAGGTTTTGGGGACACATAGATAAATAAGACATCGTCCTTTGCACATTTTAGCTAACAAATCTTAAAATATTTTTAAAGTTATCTTTATAGGTTTGCATTCATATTAAAAATGATAAGATACTACTAGTAATATTAACAGCTTTTGGCAATACCTGGTCCTGGCGTGCTGTGGAGATGTGTGGTCGTGCTTGGAGCCAGTTTGACCAAGTGTGTAAGCGGTACTTATAAGTGTGCAGTCTCTGTCTCATGTTGGGCTCCTGTAAAAAGGACCCCAAACAACAAATCTTGCACTTTAAATTTCAGTAGAATAACTTATTTCATATCAGCATTAGAGAATTTAAAATTTTTTTAGACCTTGCACTTTCAGAAAGTTCTCTTAACAGTTAATATAATCGAATTTCATATTGATACAATTTAAGAAAACATTCTAATAATCTGTATTTTGGTATTCCCTGGCATCGAGAGCCTATAGGATATTAGTTGATTACGTGGCTTTGGAGTGTACTAGTAATATTTACTCGAGTATTTGGGGGAGGAAGTGTCTGATATAGGCTTTTTAAATTTTTATTTAAAATTTATTTTTTATTGTTGAAAGTATTACAGATGCCCCCCTTTTTTCACCATTGACCCTTTCTAGCCTACCCCTGCCTTCACCACATGATACAGTTTTTTAAACTTTATTATGGAAACTTGAAACATTCGCACAGTAGTGAGATTTGTATAATGATTTCTCAAAAACTCATCTCCTGTCCTTACTGGTATAATGACCATCTTGTTTTGTCTACACACTCACCTCATTACTTCCCTCCTGACCCCTCAAGTGATTTTTAAGAAAATCCCAGATATCATGTAATTTCATTGTGCAACATTTCTGTGTGCATCTCTAAGAGGAAATAAAATCATTTGTGTTCCCTGTGAGTGCCAGCAAGGGGGGTCCAGCAGGGCTTGGAGCGGCCTAACTCGCTGTATACATAATTTGCATTTAGAAAGATCAAGAGTTTATGCTACTTGGGTATTTCATCATTATTGTAACTCGAGGGGTTTGAAATGTTGATTTTGTAAGGACATCTAAGAAAACATGAATTACCATTATGAATATGTATGAGATGAGATGGAGTCCTCAGAGCAAAACTGCACTTTGCTTTGTCATTTGTGCATGACTGCCTCCCCCAAAATGTATGCGTCGTTGTTTAAATGCTGGGAGGCAGCATTCTTAGTTCCAGGTGAGAGTCTGAAAGCTGCTGCGGCGTCTGAGAAAGAGCGGAGAGGAAAGATATGTGAGTGGCTGGGGAGGGAGAGCTGAGCAGGGAACTGCCACCAAGTGGAGCAGTACCTGCCCTCTGTCACTCAGGCTCACCCAGCCTGCTTTGGGGACGGGATATGATTGTATTGATTTTGGGGGGTGGGGGTGGGGGGGAAGAGATAGAAACATCAGTGATGAGAATCATTGATTGGCTGCCTCCTGCACGCCCCCTACTGGATATCGAGCCCACAACCCAGGCATGTGCCCTTGACTGGAATTACACCAGGAACCTTTCAGTCAGCTAGCCAATGCTCTATCCACTGAGCCAAACTGGTAGGGGCGGGAGGGGAGCTTTTATTAATAGCTTGAGATATCATTCACTTACTACAAATTTCACCCCTAAGGTTTACAATCAATGATTTTTACCACCACCATCTAATTTTAAAACATTTTCATTACCCATTAGCAGACACTCCCCATCCCCCTCACCCCAAGCTCTAGGCAACCCTCATCCACTTTCTGTCTCTAGAGATTTCCTATTATGAATATTTCATGTAAATGGGACTATTATAATATTATATTAAAAAGTTGAATTGCTTCTTTTTGCCTCCTAAACCCAGAGCTTCTGGGATTTAATCAAACCCAACCTCCTCTTTTGCTCTTGACTTTATTTCTCTCTCTTCTCGGTTCCTCTTAATTTATACCTTGTCCTTTGCTTGGCGTTTACTTGACTTTGGTCAAGCAAACGCTGACTCTTCCCTTAGAGCGGGTGCTTTCTTATACAAGGGTTGTGAAATGAAACTTTAAAGAAATATTTTAGGATTTACTTCTTTTTATACAGATTCTTAAAAAAAAAAAAAAAAAAAAGTTTTACTTAATGTAATTCAAGTAGTCAGATGCCCCCTGTGGGTCACCTTCTCTATGCTCTGGATGGCTATCTATGTATGAGAGCATTGATGTTATACATAGACTTTGGGGTTACTTTAAGTGTTCTTGCTGAAAATGTGTGTAATAAGTTTTCCTTTTATGTTCTCTTTTGCTGCTCATTTACTGGATGAACCTGATTCTATTCAAATGTGACTGCAGTTCACAGGATTCCTTTGCACCTCACCGTTGGAGGTAAGTTTACACTGACCTGAGCAATAGCATCCCCGATGGACATCTTGTGTGGTGCATCTCCCGCTGCCATAACTGTTTTAACATCAGCCTTACTTTCTCTGAACTGCCCAGATGTTAACGAGCTGGAGAAGCCTAGGCAGAGGCTGACATAGGATGCTTCATTTGGTTCGAACGAGCTGTTGAAAATCTGTGGATTGATTAGGAAGGAGCAAAGGACTTCCTGTGCCGGAGGACTTACCTGTGACTGAGCTGTTCTCGTAGTATAGACCCTACTCTAGGTGTCTCGTTCACTTTCTCGTTTAGTCCTCACAGTGTTCTGCAGATGAGAACTGAGAAGCTAGGGATAAGATGGTGAGATAAAGGAAAACTTAGCTCTTTGGGGAACCAGGAGTCATTGTGAGCTGCAACTGATACGAAATAACTTGCGGGAGATGCGTGATGAGACTTTGGGGAAAAATAGAAAGGTGGCCGAGAGTGTAGAGACGTCTGGATTTAGAGCCATTGTGGGTTCGAGATCATGCCTTCCCTTCCTGGCACCTGGCCAACTCCAGCTTCTCGGGCCCCTCAAGGCCAGCGAGAGGAGCCTGCTCTCCTTGCTTCCTGACTTAGCTCGGTGCAGTGCACAGAGGCACCGAGGAAAGAGTTGGTGGGGCTGAGACTGAGAGTGGCAGGTGTGACCCATAGAAGCACAGCAGGTTTCCCGTTTGTATCTCAATGTGGGCGATACTCAGACTCCCAGCTGGGTTGTAGCCCCTCAGCCTCGGATCTGTCGTCTTCGTCTCCGGGTTCCAGGTGTAGGTGGGACATGGAGCGCACCAGCCACACACCTGGAGCTGCACCAAGCATGCGTGCTTCCAGTGCCTCTCGCTCCCTGGGACACTGGACTTCAGGTGGGGAAGCTTCATCTTCGGTGAAAACAAGGGAAAGCGTCAAGATTGAAGCTTAGTGATGATTTCTGTCATTTTCTGTGTGATTCGCTTTTTCCACTTAATGATTGGAGATGTACTTTGCCTTAGCTAAAGTGATTTATTTCTGACTGGACCTACGGACATGGGGAGGGGAAGAAATAAAAATTTAACATGGCCAACGTGCTCTTTTTTCCCTTAAAGTATTTGGGAAGTGGTTGAGGGCTTTCTGTTGATATTGTTTTAGCCTGGAATTTCCCGGGAGCTACCTGATGACAATTATTGGCTGCTCCCTCCCCCCTTCCCTCAGTCTCCAGCTCCCCTTGCCTCCCAGTCTCCAGCTCCCCCTGCTTCCCAGTCTCCAGCTCCCTCCAGTCTCCAGCTCCCCCTGCCTCTCAGTCTCCAGCTCCCCCAGTCTCCAGCTCTTCCTAGTCTCCAGTCATTGAGCTCAGGATTCAGCTCCTTGGCCCTGCAGAGCCTGAGAGCCCAAGCAAAGCTAAGGCAGGAGAATGTTGGGAGTCCAAATGTTTGATTTTTACATTAAGCTTTGGTTTAGCTGTAGAAGAGACACCTTGCCTAATCTATATATATATATATATATATATATATATAAAAGCCTAATATGCTAAGTGTCTTGACTATTCAACCAGTTGCTATGATGTCCACTGACCACCATGGGGCAGATGCTCCAACCAGTAGGTTACTTGCTGCTGGAGTCTGGCTGATGGGGACTGGTTAAAATGGGCCAGACACATCCTGGAGCCATCCTGTGGTCCCTCCCCAGCCCCGATCATGCACCAGTGGGGTCCCTTGGCCTGGCCTATGCCCTCCTGCAATCTTGGGGGGTGTCAGAGAGCTGGTTTCAGCCCGATCCCTGCAGGCCAGGCCAAGGGACCCCACCAGTGCACAAATGTGTACTGGGCCTCTAGTTTTGAATAAAAGAAAAATAATTCTGGTAGAGAATGAAATACATGAGACTTGCAGTTGGTGGAAATGAAGGAGACTCAATTTCACTTTGTCCACAAAAGCTGCTCTGAATGAAGCGTGTCCTTTGTTGCAAGTCCTAACCAGTTACCTGCCACGGGAACTGATGAGCTTGTCTGGGTAGTAACTCCATCAGTAATGGGATCCGCTGCCGCTTGAGTGGAGCCATGTGTGGAGCGTCGTTACTTCCCTCTGTGGGGCTGACCCTTCGCGTTCCTGTGAGCTGAGGACTAATAGAGCTCATTACGCTTTATGGGAAAAGAGCTTTTATCACCTCGTCAAGTCAGGCAACATATTTCCATTCTAGTCCCAACTTTGTGTGGCTCTGTGGTTGCCGATGTGCGCTCCCTGCTAGGTTTACACCGGCCTCTCCTTACAGACGTTTTTATTGACGTTTCCAAACCTGAATTACATTTTGTGTGGCACCACCCACAGATGTCTTCAATTAAGTGTAGGTAAGTAAAGGGATTATATATCAGAGGCCGAGAGATTCTTGAAATTCTCCTCTGAGTCAAGCCCTGCCAGCCGGTGTGGTAGGGGGCAGCTCAGCACCACTCTGGAGGTGAAGCCCCAGAGGGGCCTCTGGAAGGCACTGAACTGAGTGTGACTGCCGGCTCTGGGGCTTCTCTTCAGAGGTGTCCTTCCAGCCCTTCATTTCAGGGCAATTAAGTCTTCAGTTGCAGTTACTAAAAAGAAGTTGGCACCGACAGTGTGGCTACTGTGCTAAGCTCTGCTTCCCTTGTTCCAGTTCTCACAAAGTGTCCGTGAGGTGGGTGTTCCCCACTTGCTCATGAAGCACGTTGAGCCTGGAGAGGCAGGTGAGGGGAGGTCAGGATCCCAGCTGTTTACGTGAGCAGCGGCAGCAGGCAGGAGTGCTGATGGCACTGCTCTGAGCCTCATGGCTCAGGAAGTGATGTCACTTATTGGAAGGAGGACAGTGATGAGTGGGAGATGGATTCTGTAAATGCTAGAGCAAGCTTTCCCAGCCTCGGCACTGTGGGCGGGTCGGTTCCGTCTTTGTTGTGGGTACTCTCCTGAGCAACACTCCCGTCTCCTACCCACACCAAGGCCAGGAGCACCCTCCGTCTGAACTTGGGAGGGCGGGGGACACTGCCCTAAGCAGCCTTAGAAAAGAAAAAGGAGACAGTTCACAATCCAGTAGTGAAGACAACACGAGAACACAACTTTCAGTCTCTCAGAGGGTCTGGGAAAAGAAGGAAAGTTGAACAGAGAACAGGTGAGACAGCTAGCAAGATGGCCCGCTTGAACCCCCTGCTATTGATTTTATATTAAACTAGAGGCCCAGGGCACAAAATTAATGTGGGGGGGGGGGGTCCCCTCAGCCCAGCCTGCACCCTCTTCAGTCTGGAACCCCTTGGGGGATGTCTGACTGTCAGGATGGAGCCTAAACTGGCAGTTGGACATCCCTCTCACAATTCTGGAACACTGGCTCCTAATCACTCATCTGCCTGTCTGCCTGATTGGTCCTAACTGCCAATCCCTAAAGGCCTGGTCATCCCTAACTGCCCCCTGCTGCTGGCCAAGTCCCCCAACTGCCTCCTTCCTTCTGGCCTGGTCTCTCCAATTGCCCCCCCTCTGCCAGTTTGGTCACCTCTAAATGCCCCCCCCCCCTACCGGCCTGGTCACCCCCAACTGCCTCCCTCCCCCCACCCCACCCCTGCCTGTCTGGTGCCCCCATGCAGCCTGCTGTTCAGTCGTTTGGTCCTCCCTCACTAACCTCCCTGCCAACCTGGTCATAGGCAGCCATCTTTGTGAGGGCATGAGGGTCAGTGTGCATATTACCTCTTTATTATATAGGATATAAATGGTCTAAACCTGTGGTCGGCAAACTGCGGCTCGCGAACCACATGCGGCTTTTTGGCCCCTTGATTGTGGCTCTTCCACAAAATACCCTGGCTTGGGTGAGTCTATTTTGAAGAAGTGGCATTAGAAGAAGTTTAAGTTTAAAAAATTTGGCTCTCAAAAGAAATTTCAGCCGAAACCGGTTTGGCTCAGTGGTAGAGCGTTGGTCTGTGGACTGAAAGGTCCCGGGTTCGATTCCGGTCAGGGTCATGTACGTTGGCTGCGGGCACATCCCCGGTAGGGGGTGTGCAAGAGGCAGCTGGTCGATGTTTCTCTCTCATCGACGTTTCTTGGGGAGCAGAGTCTCTCTCCCTTCCTCTCTGTAAAAAAATCAATAAAATATATTTAAAAAAAAAAAAAAAAGAAATTTCAACCGTCGTCCTGTTGATATTTGGCTCTGTGGAGGAATGAGTTTGCCGACCACTGGTCTAAACCAAAGCTCAGCTGTGTGGAAACGTTCTCCATCTGCACTGTCCCATCATGTATGTTGCTAGTGTCTTACATAGCTATGTGCTTGTTAGGAACCACATTTTAAATTTCCTTAAATGTTAGTTAACCTATGTAGCTGTAACTTGTGTGGCCAGATCTGCATCAAAAGACACCCAGTAATTTTCCATATGATGGGGATCATATTTTCCATTTTACAGTGTTATATTTTTACTTAACTTGGAGGAATGTTCATGTTACTAAAAAGTCTTGGTAAAAATAATTTTTAATTATTAACAGTTGCTCATATGAATGTACTGTAATTAGCTTCTTTATTGTTTTGTTTAATTTGGTTCTTTAGTGTACTGATTGCCAGAAAATTAGGAATTTGTTGGATTTGATTTTTAAATCACTTTTACAAAACTTGTTAACCTAACCCTAAGTGTTGTTGTTTGCAGTTTCCAAATTAAACTTATTTTTAAATTTCTTACTATAGACTATTTCAAATTTTCAAGTTTAGATTTTATTTTTCTTAAATAATGTAAATTTTGATGCCATAATGATTTAACACACCTTTGGGTTTCTATTTTAAAAAATGAATCCAAAGTTTAGTATATACAGTATTTCATGAAACTATTAACGAAAGGCAAAACAGTGACTAAGTTCTTGTAAAGCATTGCTTGCTTTTAATCGTGCTTAGAAAGAGGTCCTTTGGGGGCCTCGCAAACTGTTGTTTAAAATGTTCAGGGCGCCAGGTGTCTGATCTAGGCTTGTGGTGAGCACCTGTTTGGGGAGGCCCTTTCGGTGCCGCGGAAGGAAGGAAGGAGGACACAGACTCTGCTCCCCAAGCCTCGGAAGATGGAAGACATTCCCTGACCCATCTCTGGACCCCCTTCCCCCACCCCCGCACAGAGTCACCTCAGTGCTGGGCGGGTGACTCCCCCTTTGAGCGTGAGGAGTGTGTTTTAAGCATAACTGAGAGAGGAGGAGGCAGAGGGTCAGGAGACAGGTGCACTTCCTCAGAGGGAATGGTCACTCACTGGGGAGCAGCTGGACCTGAAGCCTGAAGCGGCCGTTAGCATTGGTGGCATCCGCCAGCGCCCGGGACACAGTGTGCTGCTGCCTTAGTAACCACAGCTGCCCGCCACCCCCCAGGTTTGAGGCGGGCTTCCTTTTGTGTAGCTGGTGGTGAGCTTTATTGTACTTTTCCTGTTGTCAGCTAAATCCTGGAAATGAGGAACTTTTGAGAAATAACTTTGCTTATTCTTTCACACAAATCTGTATAAACTGCAGGCATGAGAAGATAAACTATTAATAATTGCTATCACATCACTTATGTATGAGGAGACTGAAGTTAACTGCTGTTATTAGTTTAAATAACTTTGCTATTAAATGAATGAGCCACTGGTGTAACTTCATAGACATAATCTTTTAGAATATGCCATTCAGACCCTTAAACCAAAAGCTAAAACTGACCCAAATCTGCAGGATGCTTTTGTTTGTACATTATCTTTGTTTCTTACAACTACCTTTGAGCTTGATGATTCCTATTTTTAAAATGTAGAAACAGACTTTTAAAATAAGTTACATTATTGTCTGGGATCCGTTAATAATTCTATGGTTTCGTGATTATATTGCTTGATCGACTCCTGGATTTCAGGTTTCTCAGCTGTGATGGGATGGGGGTCAGAGTAGGTCGCTCTGTGGCTTCCTTTTCCTGAGGAATTGGAAGGCAGCCCGCATCTGCAGATGGGGAAGGTCCCTGCTTTCACATGAATTGAGGGGAATGATGCCCGTGGTAGGGCAAACTCATTGAAAGCAGTGAAATGAAATGGAAGCAGATAATTAAAAGTGAAGTCCAGGGAATGAGAGAAATAATGGTTATTGGAAACTGAGAAAGTAATTGCAATTTTAAAAACTATTTCAAGCTGATAAATTTGTCTAATTAGCTCTTTTTGTTTGTTTTGTTACTCCTCACCTGAGGATATTTTGATGATTTTTTTTCTTTTTTGAAAGAGCGGAAGGGAGGGGGAGAGACAGAAAGAGAAGCACCGATATGAGAGACATTGACTGATTGTCTCCTGCAGGTGCCGAACGAGGGTGAGCCTGCAACTGAGGCACAGGTGCGTGCCCACGACCAGAATCAAACCCGAGACATTTCAGTCTACGGCCAGCTCTGTCCACTGAGTCATACTGGTTATGGCCTCATTAGCGTGTTACTAGGAGGTTTCTGACAGTACAGCGCCCCCCTTTTCATCTCTGGTCACTGCAGGGCTGCTCTCCTGTGCGATTATTTCTAAGGACAGGGAGCTGCCTTCCTGTGGCCCTCAGGGCTCACCTCTGAAAGACGGTTTTGGTAAAATGCCAGGACATGCAGGAATTTCTTTCTTTCTTCTGGCATAGTTGGGAGTGTTCTAGCTTCTGAAACAGGTGGTTAGACTTCAGCCGTACAGCTGTTGGTGTCAGTTCAGGTGGTGCGGCTAAAACAGGTTCACTCACCTGTCCTCTTGAAGCTGCTAGGGAGATAAGAGGCACTGCTAGGAGCAAAGCTCTGTGTGGCAGTGAGTGCTGAGACCGGGGTTGGCATCATTCATCATAGCTGGTGGAAGCTCTTAAAAGTTTAAGATGTGTTTATTACCCAAGCAGCACATTAAACTACAGCAGTGGAAGTTATAGACATCACGGATACTGCTAGCACCTCACTGCATCCTCCTGTTGGTTGTGGTTGACCTTGATCACCTATGCAGAGATTTTCCCCTTTCCATCAAACGGTGCTCTTTGGAAGGAAGTGGCTCTGTGCAGCTCACACTTAAGTAGAGAGTTATGCTTCCCTGCCTTTAGGTTTTCATTGATTTTTAGAGAGAGGGAAAGGAGAGGGATAGAAAGAGAGAAACTTCTATCAGCTGCTTCCTTCACACCTGAGCATGTGTCCCGTCCGGTACTCAAACAGGTGACCTCGTGGTTCCTGGGTCAGTGCTCAACCACTGAGCCACACTGGCTGGGCAGTACTACTTCATTTTAGTATTTCAGCCCAGGCCTTTGGAGCTCTTTCACTTGCCGCGCCACCCCCCCCCCCCCAGCCCCTTTGATATACCGCCACTAATCGGGGTTTCTTTTTCCTCTTTTTGAGCCCTTCCTTGGTTTTGGCACTACAAGATACTTTAGGCTCATCTTGTACATTTCCTTCCTCAGTCCTGGACTCAGGCATTCCTCCAGAGATAAATGGTTCCTTTTATTGCAGAATGGAGAAACCAAGATCGGGTGCTAGGTGTGTTTGTCACTACTGGGGGTCATTTCTCTTAGGCCTCATCTCACAGAACAAGTACATACATGTGTGTATGCTGACCCTTCCATGTACATATCGGTGACAAACTGCTCATGTGTGTCTGTTTTCACAGCCAGAGAATCCCCCAAATGGACCCGACTGTGGCTATGGCTCCTTTCACCAGCAGTACTGGCTGGACGGGAAGATCATCGCAGTGGGGGTGATTGACATCCTTCCCTACTGTGTGTCGTCTGTGTATTTGTACTATGATCCTGATTATTCGTTTCTGTCCTTGGGTGTCTACTCGGCACTACGGTAAGATTGCCTTAGACAGTTGTTAGGGTCATATAGAACTTCCAGCAGTTCCTCATTTGATTATGTTTCATCACAGAACAGTAGAAATCCTATTGTGATAGTACATGTAATTTGTTGCTACAGTCGTCTCTTTACACTAGTATGTTGGTATTTAGAAACACCACTATGAGCCGGCACCGGTTTGGCTCAGTGGATAGAGCGTCGGCTTGCGGACTGAAAGGTCCCGGGTTCGATTCCGGTCAAGGGCACGTACCTTGGTTGCGGGCACATCCCCAGTAGGGGGTGTGCAAGAGACAGCTGGTCGATGACTCTCTCATCGATGTTTCTAACTCTCTATCCCTCTCTCTTCCTCTCTGTGAAAAATCAATAAAATATATTAAAAAAAAAAAAAATAGAAACACCACTATGAGAACTAAGGCAGTGTCTGGTGGTACTTCCCAAGCTTTTGAAGGTGTCCATCCATCTGCTCTAGTGCATGAGAAGTCATTGTATTTGAGGGATGCTTTTGTTGTTTAGTTTATGCATTTATTTAAGCTCCCCTGTCAGAACCATTTACTGTTTCTTAAATGTGGTATTATTTATTTTTCTTGTCATCAGTGTTGTATACAGTGTTTTCATAAAGGTTAAGTGAATCTGGCACAATGATTTGAAATATGCAGTTATATAAAATAGATTAGGCCCAAGAATCCCTCATCAGACAATGACTTCCCATGTGTGTCAGGTGCAAATACGTGCAGCACAGTGCACATACCTTCAGTGCATTATCCTAAGGTAAAGAGATCGGGACTTTATTCCATGAAAATACTTGTTTCGTTTTTATTCTTACTGTTCCTGTGTGTAATGGGGTGGGAGGGGATGGAGAATAGCTTTTCTGTTTGGGAGCTCAGGCCTCTTTGGTCCCACGGTATCATTGTGTCAATTTTTCCCCTTTCCTTTCCCAGTTCCTCTGGCTGATGGTCACATTTTTACATCTTGGTAAAATGTACTTTGTGATTATTTTTATTATGTTTATAGGTGTGGTTTTTTTATATTTATGAAAGTAAGAGAGTTAATATTTTCTTTAATCACCATTTGATTTATTTTTTTAAATTTGGTCCATAGTTGGTTTTTGTGTGTGTTTCAATGGCCCATGATATAAAGAAGATCTCCATCTTGGGATTTTTCAACCCATCTTATCTTAGTGATAGCAAATTCACAATTATACATGTTAACAACTGATCTCTAATCATCTTTTACTTTTCTTAGGTATTTAATTGCATTTTTATATAAGCTAAAAAGTATTTATGACTTGGTGATCTCACTAAAATTGGAACTGATCATTTGAAGCAATCCACTTTCTAACTTGAGACACGTATTCTATTACAGAACAGATACTCTTTCTTTGTACTGAAATCAGTTAACACTTTGAAATTATTGAGGTTTTTTTTGTTTTGTTTTTGTACCTATCACTTTACTGTGCATAATTGTGGATTTGTCTAGACATCACAGATGAATATTAAGAATATTTATTCCAAATAATAAGTCCCACCCATGTCTCAATAGCTAAGAGACACAGAAATCCTGCATTTGAGATAGTAACTAAATAATTCACTGCAAAATGAGAAAGCTGTGCTTATTGTTTGGTGTATCTTTGGAAAATTCTAGAGAGCTTTGAGGATGGAGCAGGGAGCCTGCACAGGGGAACATGAGTAGATGCCCCCTGTGCAGCCCTGCCCGCCTTTCCCTGAGAGCCCTAGAGGTGGAGCTGCTGAGCTTGTGGAGGAGAGAGACCTAGAAGATCAGTATTTCAGAGCAAAATCCGCACCAGTAGATCACAAGTTCCACTTCTGTCCTTACCTACTTGAATGTAGTTCAGTGAAACCTGTTCAGGTAGCTTTTCCCTCCAATCATTTAATAAATACAGATTTTGTATTTCAATGTATAATCAATATAGATTTTTTAAAATATATTTTATTGATTTTTTTACAGAGAGGAAGAGAGAGGGAAGATAGTTAGAAACATCGATGAGAGAGAATCATTGATTAGCTGCCTCTTGCACAACCCCTGCTGGGGATGTGCCCACAACCAAGGTACATGCCCTTGACCGGAATCGAACCTTGGACCTTTCAGTCCAGAGTCCGACGCTCTATCCACTGAGCCAAACCAGTTTTGGCATCAATATAGATTTTAATGTAATCTAGTCTACAGATTTAAAAAAATGTTTGAATTGGCGATCTTGAGCATGGCTTTTTTTTTTTTTTAAGATGTATTTTAGAAATATAATTAATTAGTTTAGTAGATGCTTACTTGAGTTCTATTTATGGGTTCAAAAGCCAAGAACATAATTTTAGGCCCTCTGTTGTGCTCTGACAAATAAACCATGGTGAGTGAGGTGCAGTTGAGGATCAGAACAAAGGAAAGGAGGTAGCTATGTAAAACCTGGGGTAGAAGTCTGGGTGAAGGGGCAGCAAATCCAAACACCCTGAGGAGGTGGAGGAAAGAGAGGAAGGTGGTACAGCTAGGGTGTCAGTAACTATGGACAGTGATGTGCAAGGGGGCGCTGGCCGCGGTGATGAGGGCAGTGGAGCAGGGCTTGCAGGTCATGGTAAAGAGGTTGGACTGTAAGTGTGATACCAGCCCACTACCAGCATGAGGTCACCTGATCTCCTTAATGAATAACAACAAGAAACCACACTAAATAGATCTCTTTAACTTTATGGTGTTTGCATTTTAGATTAATCACTATCTATGCCCAAAATAGTGTAAAACCTGAATTTAGATGCATTTGCTCAAAAGAAGTTAGAGTTTTTTTTTTGTATCTTTGTATTAAAAATCATTCAGTGTTTTTAAAATAGTTCTTTCAACACTTGGATTTTTTTTGATAGCTTGGTATCAAATTTTATCAAATATTTGGCATCAATTTACATAGTACTTTCACTATTGGAACTAGGTATAATTGTATCTTCTTTATTCTTTTGACAGAGAAATTGCTTTCACTAGGCAACTTCATGAAAAAGCACCTCAGCTCAGCTATTATTATATGGGTTTCTACATTCATTCATGTCCCAAGATGAAATATAAGGTAAGATTGATTTCACGCGTGTCTGATATAGGTCCAATTTATGAAAATTCATGCTTTCATAGTTTGTCATCAGAATAGCTTCACTTTCTTGAACATTTCTGATGAACATCAACAAATTATTGTTAAGCATCTTCAGTCTTTCACAGTGCCTAGCCTGCTCATCGCCTTGCATAGTACTTACCCATAGGCACTTAGTAGTTGTTTAGTGTAGTTGATCTGCAGCAATTTGCTGACAGTATAGAAATCCTAGCTATTCTGGGTAAATTTACATGCTTTTTCTGAATGAAGCCTGGGGAAAATCAGTTGAGAAGTCAGGAAAGTGGGGAAAAATATAATAATTTTGCCACAAAAATTAAAGCTGAGTAATCCCCATAGAACTGTTACTGGTTTGAAGGATTCACCAGCATCAAGTTTAAACAAGGGGAGCAGTGACATTTTTAGGAAGAAGACAGATGTGGGGTTGGTCTAGCAGCTGGTTTTGTTTGTAGCTGTGGCCGTGTTGTTGGGGTTTTGTGGCCTTGTCTGCTATTAACACTGTGAGTGTAATATTAATCAGTTTATCTCCTGAGTGCATGAATGGTGTTCCAAGAAATAAGCGTTGGAAGCAAAGTAAGTTTATAAATCGTTCATTTCCACTTGGGAGTTCCTGTAGTGCTACTAATATGCTAAGAGATCCAAACCTTAGGTTTTTGGAAATAGTTTGCTGGCTTTTTCCAGAGTTTTAGTATTCTCTATAGGCTAGTTCGTTTTAATGCTGCCAGGCCTTAGGGATCTGAAGGCAGTGTTTTGGCTGAGTTCATTATCCATATCTGTCTGTGGCCAGAGTTAGCAGGGATTGCAGGCAGTGGCGTGGGTGTCACGGCGTGGCCAGACATCAGATGGTTGAAACAGCAGAAAAGTCTCGGAAATGTCAGGAAAGAAACAAAAGGCTAATTAGCTGTGATGAAACACCTTAAACTCGGTGCCTCCGCTTGACCGTGGTCTAACAGCACGGGCACACGGCAGTGCCAGCGCTGCTGCTGGTCGGAGGGATGGATGACCTCACAGTTTCTGCATGGACAGAGCCCAGCATACGGCTTCCTGGAGCTAATGCCCCGTGACCATAGAGGCATTGCAGTAAGGGCTTCCGATGCCTCCTGCTGGTGGTGGGGGTTAGAAACATCACACACTCATCACAAACTCTTAGGCTTAAATTGTTAAGTTTTAGGTTTTGCTGCGTCAGAGTCAAAGGCAGTTTCCTCAGGGCCTCGTGTGCTGAGCTTGTGTCACTGATGTGAGCGAGTGGGAACTCCGTGGGGTTCAGGGGCCCAGAGTCTGCAGGGGCTCACATCTTTTTCCTGGGAATCCTGAGGCTCTGCGTGGCATGGAGGGGTGGGTCTCTGGGGGCTGGGGGGAGGCGGATCGTGGCAGGGGAGGGCAGTTAGGCAATCAGGCCAGCAGGGGAGCAGTTAGGCGTTAATTACGCTGGCAGGGGAGTGGTTAAGGGGTGATCAGGCTGGCAGGCAGAAGCATTTAGGGGCAATCAGGCAGTCAGGCAGGCGAGTGGTTAGGAGTCAGTGGTCCCAGATTGTGAGAGGGATGTCCGACTGCCCTGAGGGGTTGGGCCTAAACCGGCAGTCAGACATCCCCTGAGGGGTCCTAGATTGGAGAAGGGTGCAGGCTGGGTTGAGGGACACCCCCTTTGTGCATGAATTTTATGCACTGGGCCTCTAGTGTAACTGAGCATTGAGAAAGGGAGGAAACAGTTATCCCTTGAGCTTGCTGATGTGTGGGTCCTCCCCCAGCTGTCACAGTAGCTTCTCCAAGCCCTTCCTTGCTGAGACATAGAATCCTGGTGACATTTAAGGCCATAGGATGTGATTGTACTGGACTCCTGCTGCACGGGTGAGGAGGAAGGTTCTCCTCTAGCTTGAAGCATTTAAATCCCTGTGATGAATTTCCCATCAGGCAGGAAAAAAGAATGATTACCAGAGGTCACACCCCTGCGACACAGGGTTCAGCTAACTTCTATTTCCCTCGGGAACACACAGCCTCAGGAATAAGGCCTTCCTAATCACTGAAATGTTTATGGGAATACCAGCTTCAGATGGAGGCGTGGGGCGAGGCAGCTGGCTGTGAGTGGAGCGGTGCTTCGTGGCATGGGCAGCAGTTGTCTGCCGGGTCCTCAGCCTGAAAGCTAAAGCCGCCAACGTGTTTCTCTGGCTCCAGCCCCCGAGGGCGCTCCTCGGCGAGTCTCCATGAACAGGACACAGGCCTTGCTGGTGCACTGGAGGGGTTTAGTCTGAATGTCTGGTTTTAACTGAAATTTAACAGATTGAGCTCATCTTGGCCTTGCCAGTGATGGGCCTTAAGTCACTTGACTTTTCTCTCTCCCGCCCCTCTTAAATATTAAAATGAGACTGGAGACTGCCTCGGAGGCCTAAGGCTCTTCTACTTTTAAAATGGCCTGATTTTCTATTTTTTAGGAATACAGTATGACACCGTTTAGTTTAAGTTAGCAGTTATTCACTAAGTATTGAGAGCTCAGTCCAGACAAGGTATTCTGCCCAGGCACAAGGAAGGCAAAGAAATGCAGCACTTAGGTCTCGGGGAAACTCTGGGTTGGGGTATGTGGGGGCAGAAAGGGGGGCACAGCGGATAGCAGGACCCAGGTGCACTGCGTTCTAGGATGGGCTTCCCGGTGGCACTCGCTGTGTGCTGTGCTTTTCCTCGCCTGTTTGCCAGACGGTGCCGTGATGTTCCTATGATTATAAAGTTGCCTCCCTCCTGGGAGAGGTCCCTGAGAACTGAGATGGACGCGCTGTTCCCCACGGCACACCCAGGACGCTGGCTCGGAGCCCGGCAGGTGGTGGTATTTACTAATTACCTGCTGCCCTGCAGGAATGAGAGCCAGATCCTGCCTGGGAGGAAGGAGCAGGTGGTGTGAGGGGATGCCGAGCCCAAGGTGCAGTGGGCATTCAGACAGTGAGCGGTCACCGGCCCACAGCCGTGCTTAGTGCTTAGAACAGTGCCTTGGGCAGTGCGGGGTGAGGAAGGCGCTGGCACACGCAGTGTCCGGCCTCAGCCAGGGAGCAGGAGCGCCGGGTCCACGCAGCTGTGGGTGTGGACTGTAAACACAGGGCAGAACGGTCACTTTACACACGAGGGTCTGGGACCAGTAAAACCTAAGCTCGTTTCAAAGCGGAGGGAATTGGTCGTGCCTTTTCATCTTGGGTAACTTCTCATCAGCTGTAGCTAAGATCACTGGTCTCTGGAGTGGTTTTGCTTTAAAAGGGGGTTGTTCTACTGTACTGTAAGGATTGCGGAACCAGAAGGGGTTTTGTAGAGAGTTTACCCCAATGGTGGCAGGGAGCTGGGCTCATCAGGGAGAACGTGGAGTCAGCTCCCAGGTCTGTCTGTCACCCGAGAGGAGTGTCAGAACCAGTGACTGGAACCGCTCCAAGCAACAGCTGAGAGAGCAAACACGCAGCTGATGCTTTTCCTCCGTGTGGCGAAGGCCAGATTTAATATGCACACACCTACACGCAGACACTCACCTAGCACCTTCACCTGCAACAGAAGTTAGAGAGACTTCCAATTTTACTTTTCGTTTTCTCTTTATTTTCTTTGTCTTCATCTTTCATCCTATTTCTTTCTCTTTATCTTCTCTATCCTTTTCAACTTATGACCCTTCAGGTTGAAATTAAATTTGGGCTGTAAGTTGACTCCTTGAATCTTTTCTTCACAAGCTTTCTTTGTATTTCCTAGAAGAAAAAAAGATTAACCCAGGGTTTCCAAAATAAAAGCAAAGATTGTGATTAAAACTGAATTAGAATCTTTATTCTGTATTACTTGCTACTAGTAAAATAAATAGCCCCGTCTTAAGGAAGCTTTAGAGCAAGTCCTGGAGCCTTTGCCAGCCCTGGATTTTAATTAAAGAAACACAGAACTCCCATCACTTCTGTTTGTCAGAGGAAGAAATATGTAATTTTAGGTTTTCAAAGCTTCGCCTGCAGCACATGGAGCGCATCTGCTGCCTTTCAGAAATGGGGAGCACAAATGGATTCAGATGTTTGGGCCCTTTGTCTTCCCATCTCGGCTCCCCTCGCCGCTGAGCGGGCGCAGCCTGAACACCGTTTCTGAAAACAGAGCGGCTTGAGTTACTTCCCAAGCACTCTCCTGGGGACCCACAAGTCAGCCTCTGTTTATGTAACGGAGCCAGGGAGCAAGGGTCTGCTCGGGGCTCCTCGACGGCTCCACCGGTGTTGTCTTTCAGGGGGAAGACTGGGTTTAATAACCCGTCCCCCTTTCTCCGAGGTGCTGCCCACTCTGATGGATTGTTTTCGACTGGTTCTGTTTAGGTAGTGTCAGAGCGTCTCTGTAGGCGAGGGGTTTAGGTAAAGCTGATTGGTTTGTTGTAGAAAATGGGATACCTGTCAGCTTTACCTGAGGGAGGACTTTAATCTTCCTTTCTGCGCAGTGCTTCTTCCCCCCCCCCCCCTCCTCTGTATTTTAACAATATTGCCTTTTTTGTATTCTTACATTTTTATTGAACTTTCAAATCAAACTGCTGGTTTATCCTTTTCTCAAATACTCACAAAATCCTTCAAATTTTTCAAAATGTTTATGAAGTATTCCTGAGAGTGAAATCTCATAAAGATCTTTGCTTCAGGACCAGAGTTCAAAGGAAAGTCCGTTTGGTTTTAATTTGAAAACTGTAAAAACAAAGTTCCCTCAAAATGGCAGGGTGCGAATTGGGAACCTCAGTTTTATTGCAATCGGCCAAGCCCATCCCCAGATGTTTCCAATTAGAAGCCAGGAACGCTCACTTGGGTGGATATCATATGAAAGCATTTCTTTGCTTTTCTCTGATTTTTTTTTTTTCCTGAGAAAAATAACAGTCTCAAGTTCTTTAACTTTAATTAAAGAAATAACTTCTTTTTTGCATGTTTAAACTTGCGCAAAGAAAAATGTAATATTCAGAGAGAATTCTTACATGTCAGGTTTGTAAACATATATAGACCTGAATACATAAGGGTTTACATATATCTTATGAATGCCAAAAAAAAAAAAAAAAAAAAAAAAAGTTTGTAAAAGATGCTAAAGTCTTTTTTAAATTAAAGTCATGCATTTCTGGATTTACTATAATCAAAGAGAAGACTTTTTAACACTTGACTTTGTTTGAAAGACTTTTTAACACTTGACTTTGTTTAACACTTGACTTTGTTAGTCATTCCAATGCTTTCTTCAGGATCGTTACAGGGAATTTTCCATTATAATATAAATAGCAAGTTTTTCTCTCATTTTTGATCAGTTATGCATTCAGTTGTAAGAAGTTCTTCTGTCGGACTATGGGAAGATGTAATCAGATAAAAAGAACATCCCAGGTGTTCCTCTGAAATTTCTATAATGCTTTTTAGACTTCTCTTTATCAGTTTAGATTGCTCATGGAAGTTGAAGTATATTGACAAGACAGTATTTTTTAATTTTTTAGAATTAAATGAAATTGTCAACTGAGTCTACAAAGTGAGAATTTTGTGACTAAGGATGATGAAATTTTATTTTGGGAAATAAGTTCATTTCCTACATAAACTAAAATACTCTCATACATGAAAATAGATTTCCCTGTGTTATTAGCTAGCATTTAAAAGACAACTTGGATTTTGAAACTGGGTATTTTTAGCAATCAGCTCAGCAAAAATCATATGTCAATTATTGCTCCCAAAAGAAATAGAAACCCAAATCTTCCAGGTTACACAGGCCTCCCCGGGCCTGTGTCACTCATAGGCCCTGAGATGCCCTGTGCACTGTCGGATGGGGCGCGGGCACTGATGGAGTTGCTGAACCTTGACAGGAAAGCTGCTCTGGCCACCTTTCTTCCATTGTGGCTAAGCCCTCCCCTGAGCCTCGCAACCAGGGCGCCCCTGTGGTGGTCATGCCTTTTCCCTCGTGTCTCCTCAGGGTCATTACAGACCTTCTGACTTGCTGTGTCCTGAGACCTACGTGTGGGTGCCCATCGAGCAGTGCCTGCCTTCCCTGGAGAACTCCAAGTACTGCCGTTTCAACCAGGACCCCGAAGCAGGTATGTGTGGAGCAGAGCTGGACGGGAAGCCATGGCTCCTAACAGGGTCCAGAGAGCTTTCTGCTAGTCTGTATGGTAGAGTGTGCGTGCGTGCGTGCGTATAGGAACCCTGTGCACACAGCTTTGCAGATGAATGCGGAAACTCGTGTGTGTGCTCCTGGCTAATCGAGCTTCTCATGCGACTGATTAGCTTTCACATCTGCTTGAGGACTGACTCCATCACCCGTTAGTTACTTTCACTCTGAGAGGGCGTTAAGAGTTCTTCCCCATATTTCTTAGCCACCAAGACAGAAATGCTGACCAGTTGGACTGAGTGAAGTTGTGGAGTGGTTTCAGGGTGGAGCTGGGCACAAACAGGCTGGGGCGGGTTTGGTTTTGTGGTATTTTGTTGGCTTTCTTCTTGTATCTCTGTGCTGCTCCTTTTCTGTCCCTTCTCTTATATGTGTCTCATTGATCTCTGTTCCCTTTTCCTAAAGTACTGACAGTTTTAAAATTAGTGTGTTTTTTAAAGGGAGAGGAGATTTTAAAGGGAGAGGAGAAAAAGGGAGGGGAGGGGAGGAGAGGGGAGGGAGACATTGCGGTGAGAGAGAAACATCCATCGGCTGCCTCCTGTATGCACCCCAACCAGGAGTTTAACCCACAGCCTGCACATGTGCCCTGACGGGTAATCAAACTAGTGAAAGGTCACCCAGCCACTGAGCCACACTGGCCAGGCTGTGTGAATTTTTTTCAATACATATTATATTGGGGGATTTTTTGGAGATTTGTGACAATTTGAAAAAAGATAAAACATAGCCTAGAATAGAAAAAAAAAAAAAAAAAAAAAACCACAAGCACACACACACACACACACACACAAAAAAAACCCACACACAAGAAAAAGCTATGTCATGAATGCATAAAATACTGTATATAGGTAGTAGTGTATTTGTGCCATAAAATATGCACAAATCTATTGTAAAATATGACATAAAATTAACAAAGCTTATACACATAACTGCAGACTACATGGCACCATTTGCTGTGGAGGAAAATGTAAACAAACATAAAGGTGCATTATTAAACGGTAACTCCGTGGAGAGCTGGGAGGGAGGATTATGATCATGTGGAGAGCTGGAGGTGGGGATTATGATCATGTGGAGAGCCGGAGGTGGTGCGATGAGTGAGCATAATGTGCTCGAAACGAGAGCAGAAACAGGTGCTCCTTTCCCTTTGCTGTCGCTTCCCCCAAGAGGGAGGGGGTGACCTAGCACGTGTGTTTCCTGTCTTAGAGCCACGACTTTCCTGCTTCGGTGGGATATGAAGTTATACAGACAGCACACTGTGAAGTCGGTGGTCCAGCCAGGGCTGCAGAGCACTGCAGGGTTACCACAGAGAGCAAATGCCTGATGCGGGGAACTGGATGCATGTGTGTGATGTGCGCCCCGAGGCACCGAGAGGCGGCCGGAGCTGGGCAGCAGCAGGAGGCTGGCTACTGCCTGGCTGAGAGGAAGGCGCCAGGGGCCGGGCTGCCCCAGATGGAGCCTGACAACATCGAGAGCAGCAGGAGCCGCTGGCGAAGCAGAGTCCGAGAGGAGAGGGGAGAGGTTGGGGAGACGTCCTGGCGTGGGCAGAGTGAAGGCCCTGGGATGGGGATGGGGATGGGGATGGGGATGGGGATGGAGCAGCTTGAGGAGACCGCCTCCTGCCACGCTGTGCTTCCACTGATCTCCCCTGAAGACATCCTGGACCGGGGAACCTGAAACTGCGCCGGACTTCGCTCTGTGGAGTGAGGGCCCTCTGGCTGCGTCCTGGGGCCCCCTGGTCCTCACCCATCCGCGCTGCCCAGGCTGGTGCTCAGTGGAGGCATTGGTCTCTGGCCTGTGTGACCACTTTGGGAAAAGCCACGGAGGCTGGCACTCCATCGCAGGTACCTGGACAGGCTCAGGATGCAGTCAGCCTCCAAGGCCTGATTTTGCCTTCTCAGAGGTGATGGAGGCAGGTAGCCCGAGGCAAGCACATGACCTGGCCTCTCAGGGCCACGGGTTCCATGCGCTGTCTCCCCGACACGGAACTTGATGTATCCTCGTCAGCCCGTGGCTGTCTCGTGGAGGACACGGTGTCATTTGAAGAGTCCACGTTGATTATTTAGAATTAGGAGCAGCTGCCAGAAATGGACACCTAAAGTAGGTTGGTGCAAGCAGCCAGTTTGATGTCAAGTTCTGACATGGCCGTCCGGGGCTGGCATGGCCGTTTGGTTCCACGAAGCCTCCCATACCGAGTCCTTCGTGGTTTTGCTTCGGTTGAGCTGAGGGAAAGCTCTTCACCGCAGGCTCCCAGGCAGAGGCCAGGTCTCCTGCGACACCCGTGTTCCTCTGGCACCCAGTGAGCTGCTGACACCCAGAAGGTCCTTACTGAAAAAGCAGACCGGCAGTGGCAGCCACAGCAGGCTCCGAGTGTCCTCCGTGACCCCTGCCACGACGGTGCCCACTGCCCTGACCCAGCTGCGTGGGTCCGCCAAGACTGCCCGTGGGCAGGAGGCTCGGCGCAGAGGGAACCCTCCGGGGTGGGCCGACCCGAGGAGCGTGTCGTCCGTGTCAGCCTGCCTGGGAGTGAGTGTGTGTGAGACAGTGACAAGGCATCGGGCGCAGTATTTCAGGTGCACACAGTTCTGTCCCCCTGACGGGCCAGGAGCGCACCCTCTCTCTGCGTCGGGGCGGGTCTGACCTGCCTAGGCCAGTGCTCGTGCCGTGCGCCCTCGCTGAGCCCTCTGCTCGGAGGGGGCGTCTCGGCGCTTCTGTCTGCGTGCGTGTGTGGCGAGTTAGGAAGAGGCTGTGCTCTGTGCCTTTCTAACCGTGTTTTGTTGTTGCAGCGGATGAAGGTGGCAGCACGGACCCCGACCGGCTGCAGGTGCTGTACAAGAAGTCCATCCTGCCGTACGGCGTGTTCAAGCGGCAGCAGCGGGAGCCGGGCGAGGAGGCCTCCGTGCTGCAGTACGCCCGCCTCGTGGGCCAGGCCTGCTCGGAGCGGATGCTGCTCTTCCGCAGCTGAGCCGCCCGGCCGCCCGCCCCACGCCGCGCAGGCTCCCGGGCCGCCCCGCAGCTTCCTTACCCCGACTCTCGTACGGCTTTTGTAAACTCTTTTGTGGCGATGTGTTTGTGAAAACCTCATGGTTAATTTAAAGACTTAAAAAATATGTTATGACCGAGCTCCATAATTGGGATTTATCATCTCGAAAGTTTGTTTTATGAACAAGACATGGTAAACTTTTCTCACTGTCAGTATTTTAGAAAGTAAAGTCAATCCGTGAATCATAAGTAACGTTAATTGCAGCTGTGCCTTTTTGTTCTGTTAGAATTCAAAGCAGACTGTGTCCTTGGATCCATTTAAAACGTTAGTTTATGCTAAAAGACAGACAAAACCCTTCCGTGTGGGGAAGAGGTGGGGGTGCTTCTCGCTTAGAAATGTCTCTCAGGAGAAGAACTGCTGTTGGTTTCCAGCATTGTCACGGCGAGCGTCTCGGTGGGGTCAGGAGGGAGCGGGGAGGCAGGTGCGAGGTTGCACAGGTGTTTTGGGCCGGGTCTGTTTACCCAGCGGTCCTGCTCGTTGCCGGACTGGCGTGATGTCTTCCTGGAAGTTGTTTCGAGTGCTCCCCTCACTCTCCAGGCATCCCCGTTGGGTTTACCGTCGGTCCATCATTGGCTCTGTTTGTAAACGTTTAAGAAGTGAGTTTCTAAAGAAAAACGTGGGCTCCTGCCTTCACTGGCTGTTCATGCCTCAGGACCGAGGATGCTCGTCTTTGGCTCTTGATTGAGAATTGGTTTCTGTCCGAATGCGTTCATCGCTCATCGCTGTGGCACAGCCCCATTTCGTTACAAGGAACCATTGACCTCCGCTCCAGGGTGGGTGACACTATGGCTCGCCCTTCGGGGTGTCACCGGGGGTGCCACGCTGGCCATTGAAGTGAAGGCTCCCCTACCCCTCCCACTTCCTTTCGTTTAAGCAAATGCCCCTCAGGGTGGCTGCTGAGGACGGAGGGCAGTGAGCTGCGGGAGCGCCAGGACAGGTGGTTTTCTCGAGTGCTCTCCACTGACCCCTCGGTCCTGGCAGCCCTATTCTGCCTTGGGTCTGTGTTGTGTTGTGTGAGCCTTTTGAAAATTGTGCTATAAAGTGCAGTCGGCTGACTCTCACTGCTGCCTTTACATGTTTCTTCTACACGCAGTGAATTCAGATAAAACATACAGTAATTTCAGCCAGTTTGAGCAAAAAGGGGGCTCATAAAACAATGTTTTAGAAGTCAGGTGTCTAGAAATTGAGCATCCAGGTAAACTGCATATCCACTCAGGGCAGCACCGCCGGCCATGCGCGGTATCACCTGCCGTGTGTGGCCACTTGGCCACCGGGGACAGTGGTGAGCGAGCCGTGTCCTCTGAGAGCAGGGATTTCACGTCCTTCTGGAATTCCCCAAAGCAGTCTCCAAGGGCATTTGATGGGCTCTTACTTGTAGCTGCCTTCAGAATCTATAGAAAATTGTTTGTCTCTTGCCCTCTGAAGTGAAAGTAGCCTAATTTTTCTTATGATTATGAAAGTGATACTGTGAGCGATTAAAACATTAAGGAAAACGTGATTGAGAGTAAAAGTATTCTGAAGTCCTGCCATACAGAGAAAGATTTGTCCTGTGCACACACATAACAACTTGAACATAAATAGGATCCTGTCTAATGCTGTGTTCTCCCAAGTTGTGGGCCTCGGAAGCTGGAGTTTACGGTGGGATTTGGAAGTGGTGTGAGTGCTCCAGGGTGAGGGGCAGGGACGTCCTCAGGGCCCTGGGCACTCGGATGACAGGTCTGGTCGTCGGCCGCCTCCATCCGAGCAGTTGGCAAGTAGAATGCTGTTCGCAAAGACGGCACGAGTGTCCCTGAGGAGAGAGCCTGAATCTGAGCACAAGCTGTTTCCACAGGGTTCCCAGGAGGCTCCTTCAGGGGGCTCTCCCCCTCCCATCCCCCCCATCCCCCGCTGGTCTGCCTGCGGGACCCAGGCTGACCCTGCGGGGGCGCTGTGGCTCCAGGGAGGCCCCCGAGGGCCAGGCATGAAGATATGCTCGATTGCTCACGTCACGTGTTGGGTTTTTGTTTGCTTGTTTGTGAGAACAGATAGCAGTGTCCTGATCCCCGTGAGCAGTTTCTGAGCAGCAGCCATGTGTTGGTTTGCGTCCGGCTGCCTGCTGGTGATGGCTGGAAGGCGAGGGCGGTCTCGGCCAGTGGCCGCCTTGTCAGTAGATGCACAGCCCAGCTGAGAACTGCTCTCACACCCAGGCTTCCCCGAAAGACAGAACCTGTCAAAGCTGGTGGCTCTTGCCAAAACTGGTTTGGCTCAGTGGTAGAGCGTCGGTCTGTGGACTGAAAGGTCCCGAGTTCGATTCCGGTCAAGGGCATGTACATTGGTTGCAGGCACATCCTCGGTGGGGGGTGTGCAGGAGGCGGCTGGTAGATGTTTCTCTTTCATCAATGTTTCTGGCTCTCTATCTCTCTCCCTTCCTCTCTGTAAAAAATCAATAAAATATATTTTTAAAAAAAAGCTGGTGGCTCTGGTCACACCCACCGTCCTGTCTTGGGCAGAAGGTTCTAGAGGTTCCCCATAACCATCGTTCTTATCATTAGTTCTGTTCTGTGGACACTTTTTGTTCTCTTATCTTTACAGAGTGTAACCTGAGCACTTTTGACATTCTAGAATATAGAGGCTATTAGATAAATATTTTATCATTTGATTAAAATTAGATAAGAAATTACTGTTCATTTTCCTTTCCAACAAGCATATCCTATTTTTTAATCTATTTTGCAAAATATCAGTTGTGTATGGTTGCTTGACATAGTGGAATCTGTTATGTAAATGAACCTTTTCAGGTTTTGAAGGATGTATGGTTTGGTTTTATATGCTATTATTTCAGTGTGAATAAAGGTGAAAAAGAATATGATGACCACTTACCTAAAATGTGTCTGTCTTTTGCTAACCTTATAGAAGAGAAAGGGAAATACAATGGATGTAATTGGGAAATGGTTAAATTAGAAGTTGTTCAAACATGTACTTTTGTTCCAAAAGAGACCCCGTACGTGGAAGGCGGACAGGCTTGCTTGCGTGTTGTATTTTTGCCTGTCTATTCCTTCGGAGCGGCCCATTGGCCAGCGCTGAGTGGGGGAAATAAAGCTGCTCTGTCCGAGGAGGCTCCTGTGGTCGATACACAAAAGACGCGTTCCCCCCTGCTCACTCCCGGAGGTCCGTCACTGCGGAGCGGGGGAGAGCAGAGCGAAGCATCGGCTGGGGCGCCGTCAGCTCCCGGTCACTGGGCACTTCAGCCCAAGGAGCCGGGTTCCTTCCTCAGGAAACGCCAGAGGAAGTGTCTCCTCCAGCGAGGACCTGGTTCCCGCAGGGCACAGCGGGGACAGACGTCCTGTTCCCCAAAGGGACTTGAAGTAAAAGATTTGTCACCAACTCGAATATAATTTCTCTTTAAAATGCGGTTTACAGAGACGTTTTCCTAGTAGCGAAAAGCAGTCTGCTTCCACTCGGTGACAGTCGCAGTGTGTCCGTGGAACACATTGACAAGTGTTTGTCTTTCCTGGTGAGCAGATGGTGAAACGAACCCCGTTTTCCACGTTACCCAAGTATCAGTTCCAGTTCCCACGGGCGTTTCCCCAGAACAGAAGCAGCTTTAGAGCTGACCTCTGCAGTGACAGGAAAGTGCGCCGGAGACCGCGAGGTGCTGGCCGTCCCACCCTGAGCCCTGGCCTTCACAGGGGCACCTGCACGTGTGTAGCCTGTGGCTTTAAATAAAAATGGAATCTTGCCATGGATGCTGTTTTGTGATTCCTTATTTAATGTATGCGAATGTCTTAAGATATCGTGAATATGCAAATGAGTGAGGAACGAATGTCATTTTAGTGGCCACATGCTGTTCTGCTGTGACTCTTCTCTTTTGAGAAAGGGGGCGAAGACATTGGTATCCCTTGTGGGCACAGGGCTGTAACTGACTGCTGCTAACAGGTTTTGTCAGTTCTCTGTGATCCTTGGTGATGCCCTAGCCGGTGTGGCTCAGTGGAGAGCGTCGGCCTGCAGACTGAAGGGGCCGGGGTTCGATGTCCGTCACGAGCACGTACCTGGAGCCCCCTGCTCGCCAGGCACCCCTGGCGACCTGGGCAGACGGAGCTGTGCCAGGAGCATCTGGATCATCTTCAGGGTGGAGAGCGAGGTGCTCAGGGGGCCGAGTGCAGAGTGGAGATGCTTTGAGGTCCCCGTTCTGCCCTTGCCGTTGGTTTTCCCCGGAGCCACCAGGGGACAGAAGGAGACCTCCTCACCCAGTGCTCACACCTCTGACGGGCCACGGGGAGTTGGAGCTTGCTTCTGGCCCATCTCAGCCAGCGTGTGTGATGCGGAGTCCGTCTCCCGCCTGGCTGTCTGATTGCTTTTTCAGGTTTGGGTTGTCTGAGTTAATTCTCCCTCTGCATCTAAGACGGCGGTGAGAGGAGATGACAGCTAAGTTGTGTCCTGTAGAGTGGCTTTGGGGTTGGGTCCCGGGCCCCACAGCATCCCCCCTCCTGCATTGTTTCCCGTGTCCAGCCTGGCTGGGCTGGTGCGGGCCCGTAGCACCTCGGATCTGCTTGTTGGGAAAGCCTTCGGCAACGTCCCGTCCCCCCACTCGCACCCCCACCCCTGCCCCTGGCGGTTTAACCTCCCTGAGGTCACCCTTCTCATCTGTCCCTCTCCTGGTCCCACATCACAGCGACCCCTCCCAGCCGAAGGAATGAGCCTTGCCCGGCCGGCCCCACTTCGTCCCCTTGCCCCTCCATTTCCCCTCCTGAGACCACCTCAGCCTTTCCTCCTGGCTCCTGGCCTCCGCGGGGTGTCCCCATCTGCCGGCCCCTTCCCCTCCACTGGTTCGTGTCCGCGAGGTCAGACCAGGTGCTGGGATGGCTGCTCCAGGGAGGCCATGCCAACGGCGAAGACTTCCTGCTGGCTCTCCCTGGGTCCCGGGTTCTGGGTCCGAGCTGCACTGG